TTGTTTTGTAAAGAAAGTTCTTGCCATTTCATGTTTTGTAAAGAAAGTTCTTGCTATTTTTTATTTGTAAACAAAGTTCTCGCCATTTCGCGGTTTGTAAAGAAAGTTCTTGCTAATTTTTTGTTTAAAACAGTAGTAAAAATAGAAACTTGATTATCTGAAACTAAAATATGTGATAATACAAAAGTTCCAATGTGTTTTAACACTGCCGGTTTGATGAGAAAACTTTTTTAGGTAACAAACTTTTAAAACAATACCTTTCCCAGCCCTTTTCCCAACGTTATTTTAACACATTCTCAGCGACGTAGTAGTGTCTGTGGATAGGTTTATATTCATGTCATTCGACGTGTTTACGGCTTTTAGTTACGTTTGGCTTACAGTCTTTGGACATTTTTAGTACTTTATAGTCTGTTGAGCACTAGATTTTATTTGGAAATTTGAATTTTTGGGGGTAGAAAATATAAAAATTAGCAAAGACTTTCTTTACAAAACAAAAATGGCAAGAACTTTCTTTTTCTTAGAAGCAAGAGCTTTCTTTCCAATTTGGAAAATGGCAAGAACTTTCTTTACAAAACATAAATTTTCATGATTTGCTTAGCGGTCGTATAATAAACAATATTTTATGCGCTGTAAAGAAAGTTTTTGCAATTTTTTGTTTTGTAAAGAAAGTTTTTGTCATTTTTTGTTTTGTAACGAATGTTTTTGCAATTTTTTGTTTTGTAAAGAAAGTTTTTGTCATTTTTTGTTTTGTAACGAATGTTTTTGCAATTTTTTGTTTTGTAAAGAAAGTTCTTGCCATTTTTTGTTTTGTAAAGAAAGTTCTTGCCATTTTTTGTTTTATAAAGAAAGTTTTTGCCATTTTTTGTTTTGTAAAGAAAGTCCTTGCCATTTTTTAATTTGTAAAGGAGTTTTTTTGCACGTACTCTTTGCTGTATTGTTTTTAAATTTAATGGTATTCAAAAAAACAATACTCATCATCATTTAATACTCAGAAAAGTGCGATTACTCAGCTAATGATTTAAAATGTTGTTACACTTATTTCATGAGTATATTGATAATTATTATGACATTTCACAGTGTTTAATTCTTGCTTTTGCTTTGTTCTCAAGTGGCTCAGACTTTCAGGGATAAGATTTCTAATCTTATCCTTTTGCTATCTTTATTGTAGTGCTTTTTTGGTAAATAACTGTTGGCTTTTTAATGAAAAAAGGTTTTTTGAAGCTGAAAAGGTAAAAACTTTCTTTACGAACTCAAAAATGGCAAGAACTTTCTTTACAGTTCATAAAATGCGACCTTTCGTATAACTTGTCACCCGCAAACTGCAAATCTTAAAAATAAGGTTTTTTTGTTTAATGGCAGCAACTTTCTTTACGAAACAACAAATGACAAGAACTTTCTTTATAAAACAAAAAATAGCAAGAACTTTCTTTACAAAACAAAAAATAGCAAGAACTTTCTTTACAAAACAAAAAATAGCAAGAACTTTCTTTACAAAACAAAGGATGGCAAGAACTTTCATTCCAAAGCCAACAATTGCAAAAACTTTCTTTACAAACCCTAAAATGATATATGGTTCTAAAAATGACATTACTCTTCTATTTATAACGTCTTACGCAGTAAATACAAAAAGTAAAGTAGCCTGGTAAATTAATAAATTTGTATGTTTTTGCCAAAGATTGTTTGGCCAAATGAGGAAATGCCGGCTTAGTCTGGCTAAATACTTTTGTACCTGATGTTATTCTGTTGTGGCTTCGAGGAAGTGCCGTTTCTTATAATTATAGTTCTAATTTTTTTAATTTTTTTAAATTTTTAAAATTTTCATTTAAGATTAAGAAAATTAAGTAAGGTAGGGTAAGGTAAGACATGAATATAGGCATGGGCATGAGCTGGTAAGGACAGGTCAATATACAGTAGAGTACGGCATGCAAGGGCAAGAAAAGGCAAAGTAGGGTAGACTCTTTGAAGTAAAGCCAGTCCTACAACTGTGCATGGCAGAGGAAGGCAGGGTAGACTACGGTAGACAAGGTAAAAAGGCCGGTCTCAATTTTAAGGCTTGGCTTTTTTTTAATATCTAAACTAGGGCAAGGTAGACTAGGAAGCTGGGTTGGCGAAGGTAGGATAGGCTAGAATAGTATATAACTGGGGTTATTATTGTCAAATGCACGAATATTTAAGAATATTATTGTGCTATGACACGTCTGGAACAGCATGAAATGACAATGATATATTAAGATGTACATCAAGTATATTCTGCAATTTCTTTTTTTTATTTAGTTTTGTTTTTTACTAGCCTTAGCCTGAGCCTGACCTTGAGCCTGACCCAGAGCCCTAGCCCAGAGCCCTAGCCCAGAACCGTAGCCCAGAACCGTAGCCCAGAACCGTAGCCCAGAACCGTAGCCCAGAACCGTAGCTCAGAGCTTTAGCCTAGAGTCCCAGCCATGGTTTTATTTTTTCAGTGCCTTAGCCTTACTATGCCCGGCCGTCGCCATAGCCATCTTCTGCCTTGGCAAGCCTATTCTCATTATACCTTACTTTTGCCATTCCCTAACTTAAGCATTCTTTACCTTTGCCATGCCCTATCTTTACTATGATTAACTTTTACAAGATTTTTTTCTTATCACCCCTTATTTCTTAATGTTTTCATGTCCTAGCCTTACCATAACCCTATCCTTCCTCCATTCTTCCCCCCCCCCCCCTCTCCTCATATCTCTTTCTAATTATTTTAATTAGTTTTAATCAAAAATTGAAGTTACTAAGAAAAGCCGAAAGTATGTGATGCTCTATACAACAACTTTATCCGCTGTAATCTTTGACCACGTCCGTGTACTGCGTCTTGTAAGCCCTATATGTACATCTTATTATGTAAGCTATATGCTCTATACAAGCCATACATTTTAGATACTGCACAATTTACTCTATTAAGGAGGATGTGTAGTACGTTAGGAGTATTATGATTAATGTCTTCTCGGTAGGAAGTTGGTGGGTTAAAATTTCCTGTCGTTTTTTTGTTTTGTAAAGAAAGTTCTTGCCATTTTTTGTTTTGTAATGAAAGTTCTTGCTATTTTTATGTTTGTAAAGAAAATTCTTGTGATTTTGTGCTTTGTAAAGAACTTTTTGTCAAGTTTTGTTAAAGGAACTAAAATCCAATATTTTTAATTGACATTACGTCAAAAAATTAAAAATCCAACAAATTTCGTTACATTTTGTTCATAAAAGAGTAAAATACGCATTGGCACCTTTTCAATTAATTTTGTAGCATTTTGAATAAGAAAATAAAGAAACCAATAAATTTTGCGACATTTCGTTCAATTTTTGAAAACGTATTTTTTAGGCTAAAAATGTCATTTTTTTGTTTTGTAAAGAAAGTTCTTGCCATTTCATGTTTTGTAAAGAAAGTTCTTGCTATTTTTTATTTGTAAACAAAGTTCTCGCCATTTCGCGGTTTGTAAAGAAAGTTCTTGCTAATTTTTTGTTTAAAACAGTAGTAAAAATAGAAACTTGATTATCTGAAACTAAAATATGTGATAATACAAAAGTTCCAATGTGTTTTAACACTGCCGGTTTGATGAGAAAACTTTTTTAGGTAACAAACTTTTAAAACAATACCTTTCCCAGCCCTTTTCCCAACGTTATTTTAACACATTCTCAGCGACGTAGTAGTGTCTGTGGATAGGTTTATATTCATGTCATTCGACGTGTTTACGGCTTTTAGTTACGTTTGGCTTACAGTCTTTGGACATTTTTAGTACTTTATAGTCTGTTGAGCACTAGATTTTATTTGGAAATTTGAATTTTTGGGGGTAGAAAATATAAAAATTAGCAAAGACTTTCTTTACAAAACAAAAATGGCAAGAACTTTCTTTTTTCTTAGAAGCAAGAGCTTTCTTTCCAATTTGGAAAATGGCAAGAACTTTCTTTACAAAACATAAATTTTCATGATTTGCTTAGCGGTCGTATAATAAACAATATTTTATGCGCTGTAAAGAAAGTTTTTGCAATTTTTTGTTTTGTAAAGAAAGTTTTTGTCATTTTTTGTTTTGTAACGAATGTTTTTGCAATTTTTTGTTTTGTAAAGAAAGTTTTTGTCATTTTTTGTTTTGTAACGAATGTTTTTGCAATTTTTTGTTTTGTAAAGAAAGTTCTTGCCATTTTTTGTTTTGTAAAGAAAGTTCTTGCCATTTTTTGTTTTATAAAGAAAGTTTTTGCCATTTTTTGTTTTGTAAAGAAAGTCCTTGCCATTTTTTAATTTGTAAAGGAGTTTTTTTGCACGTACTCTTTGCTGTATTGTTTTTAAATTTAATGGTATTCAAAAAAACAATACTCATCATCATTTAATACTCAGAAAAGTGCGATTACTCAGCTAATGATTTAAAATGTTGTTACACTTATTTCATGAGTATATTGATAATTATTATGACATTTCACAGTGTTTAATTCTTGCTTTTGCTTTGTTCTCAAGTGGCTCAGACTTTCAGGGATAAGATTTCTAATCTTATCCTTTTGCTATCTTTATTGTAGTGCTTTTTTGGTAAATAACTGTTGGCTTTTTAATGAAAAAAGGTTTTTTGAAGCTGAAAAGGTAAAAACTTTCTTTACGAACTCAAAAATGGCAAGAACTTTCTTTACAGTTCATAAAATGCGACCTTTCGTATAACTTGTCACCCGCAAACTGCAAATCTTAAAAATAAGGTTTTTTTGTTTAATGGCAGCAACTTTCTTTACGAAACAACAAATGACAAGAACTTCCTTTACAAGCCAGAAAATGACAAGAACTTTCTTTACAAAAGAAAAAATGCTATGATATGCCCATCGGTTGTATAACTTGTCACTCGCAGTCTGCAGAACATTCGAACTTATGAAAAAAGTTCTGAAATTGACATTATCTATTGCTTTTTGCCATTTTATGTTGACTTACAATTAAATTTTACGGATTTTTAAATTTTTTTAGAACTTTGTTTTTCAACCTTAATATAGCTTAATATAGCCCTTGTTTTCAGATAATGAGCCAGGACAACGAAAGCGATCAATGCTTTTACTACTCGGACAAGAACCCCGACCCCACTAATTCAGAGATCGCTATGATCGTATTTGCCATTGTATACACACATATCTTCGTCCTCGGCCTGATCGGCAACCTCTCCATCATGTTCCTGACCTTAAAGTACAAGCATCTACGTACCGTCCAGAACATCTTCATACTAAACTTGGCGATATCAGATGTCATCGTATGTCTACTATCACTACCATTCACGCCAGTAACGAGTATCTACAAAGTATGGATGTTTGGTCAACCTATATGTCATCTACTACCGTTGGTACAGGCTGTGTCAATATTTGTGTCAACTTTTTCTTTGTCCGCCATAGCTATCGACCGGTATAATTTGGTGGTGAGACCACATGCAACACCTTTAACATGTAATGCGGCGCGAAATGTGGCGGTGGTACTGTGGATAATTAGTGTGGCGGTTTCGATACCGTACGCTTATTATATGAGGCTGGAGAGTTATGTGGAGTTGTGTGGGCAGGTGAGAAAATACTTTTTTGTAACGCCCACCGTGTCTTTTTTTTTTCTAGTCGTTACACAAGTAAGGCTTGTGTTAAAGACCAACTGAAATAACACGTTTGTAAACCATAAAAAGATGTATACATCCTCATAGTTTTAAATTGATATCATGTTTTGACGCAAAGTTACAGTTAATCAAAAATGGCAAAAAACAAAAAAAGTTGGAATCCGGCCAGAAATTCTATTTTTTTGCGTTTTCAACTGGCTGTAACTTTGTTGTAAAACAACATAGCTTTACAAAACAATGGTAAAATACACTTGTTTCTCTGACTTTCAATACAATATGTTTAATTTTGTCTTTTAAAAATTAAAAAACAGCAAAAAACCAAAAAAGTTCGAAGCCGGCCAGAGAATTCTGACTTTTTTCATTTTCAACCGCCTGTAACTATATTAACAAACAACATAGCTTGACAATACTGCGACAAAATATATTCTTTTTACAGTCTACATTATGGTATAGTCTAACTTGTCATTTTACAATTTAAAATTGCGACAAAATTTTAAAAATTCAAAATTTGCCCAAAAAATTCGGACTTTTCTAGTTTTCAGCAAACTGTAACTTTTTTGTTAAACGAGCTATTGTAACAAAACTTTAGGAACATATAGTGTTTTTCATGCTCTACAAAACATATATTAAGGATTATTGTCCCATTTTTTCAAAAATTTTTAAAAATGTTTTTTCTACGATATTATACATGATTTTCATACTATTTTCAGTTCTGCACCGAGATTTGGCCCTCAAAATCGATGCAAAGAAGCTACGCATTAGTCGTACTGATTATGCAGTTCCTCCTGCCTTTTATCACCATGAGTTTTTGTTATTCGACAATCTTCTCGAAGCTTCGCGAACGTGCCAATTCAAAGTTGAAGAAGCTAGACGAACGTTCCCAACTACTCAATGTTCATCAAGCGTTGGACAAAAAGGACAGTTTTAAGCTGAAAAATGGGGACGATACTCAACGTGCCAACTTATTAGCTCAACAACGACGCACCACCACAATATTGGCTTCGATGGTGTTGATATTTGGGTTGACGTGGCTGCCACAAAACATTGTCACTTTGATGTTGGAGTATGATGAAGACATTTTTAACCATGGGTACACGAATTACACTTATATTGTGTCGATGATTGCGCATAGGTAAGGCAAACTTAAAACATTTTTTTAATTTTTGAAAAATTTTAAGTTTTCAATAATTTTTGTGGCATTTCGTCACATTTGTAAATTTTCCAATACTTTTCGTGGCATTTCGTCACATTTATAAAAATTTTGGAAAAAGCTATTTTGAAGCATTTTAACACTTATATAAAATTTTTTATATCTTTTTTGACATTTCGTTACGAATTTTATTTTCTAATAAAACTTGTGGCATTTTGTCAAATTTGTAAAATTTTTACAGAATTTACATTCAATATCAATTTAATTGCTAAGAAACAATTTTATGGCATTATAACACCTCAATACAATTTTACAATAAAGTTCTAAGCATTTCTTTACGACTTTTACATTTTACAATAAAATTTGTGACATTTTGTCACATTTTATAAAACTTTACAAAAACTATTTTATAGCATCATAACACCTCATTACAACTTTTCAATAAAGTTCTTAACATTTTGTTCAATTTTAATATTTTCTAATAAAATTTGTGGCATTTCGTCACATTTTTAAATTATTTTTAAAACTTAAGTTTTTGACATTTTCACTCTAAGAAACGCATGAAAACATTAAAAAAAGTTTGAAAAACAATTTCGGCACAGACAAAAACAAGGAATGACCGTTCTAAATCGAGTGCAATTTCAGTATTGCCATGTTGACGAATGTGGCGAACCCGGTGCTGTATGCATGGCTGAATCCCACATTCAAGCAATTATTTCTCCAATTCTTCACCAGCAAAAAGCTTCCGGATTCGGTGGAGAGCGGCGGGTGTCGGGCGCCGAAAGTCAGCACGGTGCCGCGTGAGTGTGTGGCCAAGCTGAATGGTACTGAAGAGAATGAGCCGCGGGCGGATGTTTAATGCACTTCAGTACGTGTGGTTTTGGATGTAATTGGGATGAGGAGGCAGACGTTTAATTGTGGTATTATATAATATGGTATGACTAGACTTGGTGGTACGAGAGATGTCTGGTTCTACTGGGATAGGAAGGATGGTTGGAGGATGTTAGTACTACTGTAAAAGTAAAAAGAAGACAACTACTACTGTAACGGTACAAAGGATTCCAGTACTAAGTACCTACAGAAGCTATGGTGAATTGTACTACTACGGTAAAAGTACTGAAGATGCTACAGTTACTGTAAAAGTATGAAGGATGCTACTAGTCACCACTACGTTAGTAGAAGATACTACTACCTTAATAGTCAGTAGATTCTACTAATACAGTAATTGTACGCAAGTTGCTTTGACTACTGTAATAGCCGATCAATTGCATTACTATTATAACAGTAAGATTGATGTTACTGCTACTGTAATGATACGACAGATGCAACTGCTACTGCAAAAGTAAACAGGATACCACCACTACCAAACACTTTAGAAGCTGCCAACTCAAAATCACTAAAGAGAATATAAGATACAAATACAAATACCGGTACTATGTTATGTGTAATACACTCTATGTTACAAGATAGTTGCATGTATAGTAAAATCTTGTCAGAAATTAGTATAGAATGTTAGGTACTATACGTATAAGCACTAATAGTACATTCTGTGTTGTTGCATATAATCTACGAGTAATCTCTTCATTATACAAACAAATACTACAACTGTTCTACGACTTGTATACTGTAATATGTGTTATCATAGGCACTTTCTCATGTCTTAAGCACCAACTGTAGCGGTACGATAGCACATACTATATATGTTCTACTGATACTAAACAACAGCATATATCACAGTAAATGAACAGTTGCAGTGCAATATAGTATTGTTTCAAACCCAAGATTGTTACTCAGGCTGTAAAGAATAGATGTTTTTTTTGTTATTTTACGATTGTTATGGTATCTGAATCATAATAAATTTCGTCATTTTATTTTGTTAATTAATAATAAATTAAAGCTTATACTTCCGCCGGTTTTGTTACTACCCTACCATTTCCTACCCTACCCTAATCTACCCTACCCTACCCTACCCTATAGTATACCAGGGACGTCGTTTGGGGGGGGTGGTTTGGGGGTGACTCCCCCCCCTCCCAGAGCCGATCCGACAAAAAATCCACAGGTACACCTGTACGCGGAAAAAAAAGAAAAAAAAATTTTTTTTGAAAAATCGGTCCACCTGTGGACCAAAAAAAAAATTTTTTCGACCTTCCCCCAGAGAAAAACCGTAGCGACGTCCCTGTAGTATACCATCACACTTCATCCTACACCACCTTACTCTATCCCGCCTCATCGTATTAGTTTGTACCCTACCTTTACTTTTTATATTCTACCCCAATCTACCCTATCCCCGTGTTACCCCATCCTACCTTATCCTACCTTACCCTAACGCTAGTCTACTCTACTGCGACCCTGATCTACCCTACCCTTGGCATAGCCTACTCTAGCCTGGCTATAATCTGTCCTATTTTGACCCTTGTGGTTAAAATACAAGTTGTAATAACTACCTATTTCAATTACATTTTAAGCAACATTGTAACCCATGTATCGCATTACTTCTAAGAAAACGCTCGCCCTTCACACTAGAACATTTCTTGTTATGGAAACGTTTGGAAAAGTAAAAAACAAACCACAAAGTTTAGGTTGTTACCTACAGTTTTAAAGCAATTCCTATAATTATCGCGCAAAAGATTGCTGTAATCATAATTGATTGATTGCAGTCGAGAGGCTAAAGGTGTTGTCAACAAAGAAATATTGAAATATTAGAGATATTTGACCTCCCACGAGGGCTGTGTGATGAATGGCCGTAAATACAGAAAGAGGAACAACATCTCATAACAAATTTTAACAAGGATATTTAAAAAATTTTATCACCTAAAAATGCAAATTTTGACAAAGCTGAATTAACAAGGTAAGTACCCTACCTGCCCGCTCAGAATCAGCTCAAGATTTTTATATGAATTCCTTGTACCATCAATAGTACCTATAAAACAGCTTAGATCGCACTTTTGTGTTTTAAATTTGAATTATTTTTGTTTCCCGACAATTTGGCAAGTATGGCATTGTGCTTCAAGCACTTTTTTCGACTTTCTAGTCAAGCTATGCTTACAAATTTAAAAATGTAGGTTCATTTAAAGGTATTCTACTAATATATTAAAGAAAAATTTATAAAAGTCACAAAATGGCAAAGTTATAAGCTTGAAACACAACATCAACTTGGCGGGAAATTTAAAACGTAAATTTTTAATCTCGATTTTCTGGAGGTTGGCTGGATAGCGCGACTTAGTATTATACTTTGCTAAAGATCTTATATTTACATGGTCTTACTAGATAAAAAGTTCGAAGTCAATCAGAGCAGGGCAGATCGGGTAGTTTCCTTTTATGAAGATAAGACAATTTGTAAGAATATAAGATTATTATTAAAAAAAGAAGACTATTTCTAAAAAGGTAGATCACTTCTGGAAAGGCAAGGCGATTCCGAAGCAAATGACACCATCAGTAGCCTGTTTTACAAATTTCTTGTAAATTAGAAAATTCCAAATCAAGATCAAATTGTTCGTTGATTGCAACCGCAAACTAGCAAAATAATTCAGTTAGGGTACAAAAAGTTCATCATTGATCTAACACATACTATACTATCAAGAAATTGTAATAGAATTTAGCATTGAAATCGTAAATGTTTTGGTTGGTTAAACAGCATGAATAAATCTACCTAGTTAAAGATTAAATTGTTACAAAAAGTTGTTTCAGAGTGATTAATTCTAGACAACTTTAGGTTGGTGTTCTTTAATATAAGCTGTCTACGAAAGAAATCGCGTTATAACAACAAAGTACGGTTTTTATGGTTCAATAGTGTTACAAGTTTATAAAAAATCCTCATGCTTTACTTTGACTCTTGTTTTGCTTTAGCCTTAGTCTATGGTTCACCCTGAGGTCAGCTTGAGCTTGAGCCTGAAGCTGAAGCTGATGTTAAACCTTAGTTGAGTTTAAGCCTACGCTATAGCGCAAACATAAGCCTGAGCCTGGGGGTAGACCTGAGCCTGACCCCGAGCTTAAGCTTCAGACTGAAGTTGAGCCTAATCCTAAGCCTGAACTTGAGGTTAAAGTGAAAACTGAAGCTAAGCCACTAAGCCGGAGCCTAAGCCTAGGCCTAAGTTTGCGCCTATGCTTGAGCTACAGCTTGAGCCGGAGTCAGACTCTGAGTCTGAACATGAACATAAGTCTGTTCTTCAACTTGAGTTTGAGTTTAAAATCAAGTCTCAGTTTGAGCCTGAGCCTGAGTCTGAGCCTAGCTTAAGTCTGAGCTTGAGCCTGAGCTTGAGCTTGAGCTTGAGCTTGAGCCTGAGCCTGAGCTTGAGCCTGATCTTGAGGCTGAGCCTTAACATTAGCTTTAGCCTTAGCCTTAACCTTACTCCTATCCTTAGTCTCAGCATTAGTCTTAGCCTAAGGCTTACCTTTAGCTCTTTCCTTCTCTCCCTCTCCCCCTTCCCTCCGCTTCTTCCAAGCCTTAACTTCCAATCTAGCCATTGCCTTATCATATCATATTTTTACCCTACCCTGCCCTTTAATCCAATAATCAAAATCAGAACCCCCGTAACGTTTGAACCCGTTTCCAAACCCTAATTCGAGTACGAACTTATAAGGCGATTAGTGTTACCCAAAGGTTACGTTGTGACAAAACACATTACAGTTTTATCGCGAAAGGTGGGGCCAATGGTGAAGTGCGACCACAATAATTGTGTTCGATGAAAGTTAAGTGAATTCAGAGTTAATTGGATGATCAGTTAACAAAATGGCTCCCATGTTCCTTGTGTTACATTAAACTGATTGTTTTTTAAATCAACTGCTTGTTACTTTTTGCGACAACATGTAATGTTAGTTTTGGGGGAATGTCTGGTAGTGATGTATTACTTATTTTTATCTCTGCCTTTACCCATATCTTTTCCTTTAGCTCTATCTTGATCTTTACTCTTACTTATCTTTACCCTTACCCCTTTCTTTACTTCTTCTCTTATCCTTACCTCTACTTTTAGTCTTGCCCTTATCCTTTATAATACCTTTATCTCTGCCATCACTTGCAACATTTACCCCACTCTTTTCCTGATTTTACTTCTAAAATTACCCTACCCTTGCTCTGGCTCATGCTTTTATCCGTACTTTTACTTTTATCACTGCCTTCACTTCTACTATTAACCCTACTCTGAGCCCTAATTTTACCCCTTCTCTTACTCCTACGTCTACTTCTACGTCCACTCCTACGTCTATGTCTCCCCTACTCTTATTTTTACTTCTATCCTAACTAGTACTACTACTACTTCTACTCTTATCCTTATCTCTATCCTTGTCCATAGTTTTACCCTTACGTCTACTTCTTATTATTACCAATTGCCCCTACTCTTACCTCTGTACTTTTATCTCTACCTTTACTTCTACCTTTACCTCTACCTACTCCTTTAATTTCACCTCTACTCTTAATCTTACTCTAACCCCTATTCTAACTCTTTCTGTCCCGACCTGTACCATTATCCGTATCTATACCCACTTTTACTTTTACCCCTACCCTTACGCTTACCTTTACTTCAAGTGTTACTCCTACCTTTACCCAATCCTTACCATACCTAGACATGAGAAACGGGCCAGGCCTGAATGTTAAGCCCGGCCCAATCTAAATTTTGCTCACAGCCGGCCCGTTTTTCATGTCTACCCATACCCTACCCTTGCCATGCCTTACCATACTTCTATTCGTATTCCTACGTTTACTCTTATTTTTACCCCTACTTACACCCCTAACCACACTTCTAATTTTACATCTATTCTCATCCTTTTAATCACTGTTCCTCCTATTTTTACTCTTACTTGTGTCCTTACTTTTACGCTATTCTTTATACCTATCCGTAATCTTACCCTACTCTTACCCCTACCCTAACCCATAAATTTCATCTCTATTCTCACCCCAACATCATACCACATAAATTATTTTGGTCTTCCAACCTTTCAAAAACCGCAATTGCGTTTTGAAAAACTGTGTCCGAAAACAGTTGGTTACAGAATATTTTTCATACTTTTTTAATTAATCAAACTTTCCCGGTTAAAAACGATTTTTCCATCATATTTTGTTCGTTGTAAACTCGAGACGATTCTCAACTTGTTTGCAAACATATTGTGGTGATTTCTGTAGCTAGCACAATCTTGTGATTGTTGTTATCGTTTTTTGGTTATTTTTAAAAATTTTTGTTTTTTAAAGAAAGTTCTTGCTATTTTTTGTTTCGTAAAGAAAGTTCTTGCTATTCTTTGTTTTGTAAAGAAAGTTTTTGCTATTTTTTGTTGTGTAAAGAAAGTTCTTGCTATTTTTCGTTCTGTAAAGAAAGTTCTTGTCATTTTTCTGTTTTGTAAAGAAAGTTTTTCCTATTTTTACGTTTTTCTATAAACGTTTTGACCAATTAATTTAAAATACGCATCTTTCATTACACTTAAAAAACTTTTAAAATTAAACAAATTAGATAAAAACGAAACGATGACAATATATAAATCCAATTTCCCACCATTACCGGTTGGAACACGACCGATCACTGACGAACTACTCGATGCCATCTGGAAAGTTGGCCAACAGCAACCGAATAAACCTGTTTTTGTAAGTCATTGTTCGTTTTGTAAACAAAGTTCTTGCCATTTTTTGCTTGTAAAGAAAATCCTTGTCATTTTCTTATTTGTAAAGAAAGTTCTTGCCATTTCTTGTATTGTAATGAAAGTTCTTGCTTTCTGATTCTAAAAGAGCCGCCTTTATGTTTTGCAGCCTGCGGGTGACATTTTATACGATAAACGTTTTTTTTTTATTTGGAAAGAAAGTTATTGCCATTTTTGTTTTTAATGAAAGTTCTTGCTATTTTATGTTACGTAAAGAAAGTTCTTGCTATTTTATATACTGGAAAGAAAGTTCTTGACATTTTACATTTTGTAAAGAAAGTTTTTGCCATTTTTGTTTTGTAAAGAAAATTCTTGTCAATTTATGTTTCGTAAACAAAGTTCCTGCCATTTTTTGCCTTGTAAAGAAAGTTCTTGCCATTTTTCACTACCTTAGCTCAATTCCTAGCTCAAACTGTCATTTACCTTAAACTGCCACTTAAATACCAACCTTTCAGATAAACGCCGAAACAGGACAGAAAGTGACCTTCCACGAACTGTACCACAAGTCCCATTCGTTGGCCGCCTTTTTGGAGGAAAAAGGCTTTGGCCACAAACAAATTGCTTGTGCTGTCATGAGAAATTCGTGGGAATATTTCGCTGCCTTCTTGGCCTGCGGCATTGTTGGCGGAGCGCTGAGTGGGGCTAGTCCACTCTTTGGGGAGCGTGGGTTTCTTTAAATTTTTTAAATATTAAAATTTTTTTAAATTTCTTAAATTTTTTTTTAATTTTAAGATTTTTTTATTTTATATATCGCTGTTCAAAAAAGTTTGAGCTACTAACCCCAAAACATTTTCTTTGAAAGATGGCTTATAGTTATTTGAACAGAATATAAAGATTGCGTTTTAGTTGAACTACAACAACAATTCAACGATTCCAAAGCTAATGTAGTCTTTTGTATGGAATATTCTTTACAAAACGTCTTGGATGCCAAAAAGAAGTGTCCTAAAGTAAAGGTAAGCTGAATATAGTTTTTAAAGGTCTTTACCATACCTTACCCTATCCTACTATCTTGCCTTGCCTTGCCTCTTGCTCAACTCGTAGCTTACCCTATTCTGGCCTGTAATTTTAAAACCAATCCTTTCCAGACAATCATATTGTGTGGTGAATACAATGGCCCCTTGCCAGATGGAGTTATTAAATTTGAAGAAGTTGTAAAACATTCACCAATTTTGAAAAAGAAGCGAGGACCAATCGATATTAACAAGGACGTCGCCTTCTTACCATACTCAAGTGGTACTACTGGTCCACCGAAAGGCGTTATTCAGAGTCACAAGGGTTATTGGTCTATGATTATCATTTTAAGAAAGTATGTAATTCGTTACTGTATCATTGGGTAAAAAATTAGACGTTAGACAAAGTGCTACAAAATTTATTGATTTTTGACGAAATGTCACAAATTTATTGGATATTTAATTTTTGCTATACTACTCAAAATGGCACCAAATTTAAAGTTTTTTTGAATTTTAAATGAAATGGCACTAAATTTATCGTTTTTAAAGTTTTAGACGAAGTGTCACGAAAATTATTGATTTTTGACAAAATGTCACAACGGTGCTAAATATTGAAATTAGAAAAAAATGAGATGAAAATTATTAGTTTGTTGATTTTTGAACATAATGCAACAAAAAAAAATAAAATGGCACGAAATTTATCGGATTTTCTTTTAGCGCCCTGGAAAACTTGGTAATGCGCAGAATTGATCCAAACTGGGACTGGCGTGAGGAGAGTATGCAAATTCTGCTCCCAATGTATCATAATTACGGGTTCAGCATAGCAGTAATGTCTGTTTGGGTTGGATGCACCAGTATCATTATTGAAAAGTTCACTCCTGATATTTTGTTCAAAAGCATTCAGGATTATAAGGTAAGATATTGTTTTTAATCTATACAAGACTTAAAAATTTTGAAATTTTAGTAAAATACGAATATTTAATGGTTTTAGTGTTAATTCCATTGCACTGTGCAAATTTTTTTTGGGGTGCACAGTGCAATCATTTTTTAAAAATTTATTGGGACATTATTTTTGATGATGGAGAAAAGAAATTAGTCTTAATAGTATCAGACAGTTACATACTATAATTTAAAATAGTATTTGTTACCTAAAGTTAGTTTAAAATGGCACGGTGCAAAAAAAATGTTTGCACTGTGCAAAAATATATGTGGCTGCACGGTGCAAAGGTTTTTACTTTTTATGCCATTTAAAATACTAAAAAAGTAATTTTAGTTATGAAAATGTTGCGGTTTAATAAAAAATGGCATTTAAATTTTTTAATTTTTTTTAAGTTTTAAATTTTAAAAAAAAGTTTAATTTTTTTAATTTTCAGATCCGATTCTGTAATATGGTGCCACCAATGTTGATTCTCATGGCCAAATCCCCTATTGCTCTAAAATATGACTTGTCTTCGATTGATTTTATTTTGTCAGGAGCAGCGCCTTTAAGTGCAGATGTCATGGAACAGGTCTTGAAACGATTTCCTACGATCAAACAGATCGGGCAGGGTTACGGTATGACAGAGATGAGTATGGGAGGACATTTGGCCGAATATGATGTGAATTGTCCATTGGGGACGGTTGGACGACTTGCTCCTAATTTTGAAATGAGGGTGGGTCTTTATGTTTTTAGGGTAGGGTAGGGTGGGGTAAGGTGAAAAATTTTTGATTTTAAACTATGTTGAGGTACTTCTAATGGTCAATATTACCTTCTTTCAGATCACCGACCCAGACACCGATGAAGATGTAAAGCCAGGAGAGACAGGTGAATTCCGAGTACGATCGCCCACCTTAATGGTCGGTTATTTTAATAGACCAGACGCCACCAGAGAATCTTTTGATGAATTGGGATTCTTGAAGACTGGCGATATTGGCTACATGGATAAAGATGGCTGGTGCTTTATTGTTGACAGAAGAAAAGAGCTGATTAAGGTCAAGGGACATCAGGTAGGGTAATATTTGTAATTTTTTGAAATTTTAAAATTTTGAAAAATTCGAAATTTTGAAGTATTGAAAAATTAAAAATTTTGAAATTTTGAAAATTTTAAACTTTAGAAGTTTTAGAAAATTTGAAATTTCGAAAATTAAAATAAAAAAAATTTAAAAAATATTGTTGTAGGTACCCCCAGCTGAATTAGAAGCTTTATTATTATCGAATAAACGAATTGCTGACTGTGCTGTGATTGGAGTACCAGACGACAGAAATGGCGAAGTACCAAAGGCATTCATAGTCAAATCAGATCCAAAATTGACTGAAAAAGAAGTTCACGAGTTTGTGGCTAGTAAGTTTTCTTAACTTATTGTTTGGGCAGGGTAGTGGTTTTAGAAGGCCATAGGGTAGGTGAAAAACGGACAAGGACAGTGGCTTCAGTTGGGCAAGAGTAGGACAAGTGTAGAGGCGTTAGTAGGGGCAAGAGCAGAGCAATGGTATGACTAGGCTAACGACGTCAACAAGGGTAAGGGTAGAGCAAAGGCAGGGTCTGGACAAGATTAACGGCTTTAGTGGGGCATTGGTGGGTATGGAAAGGTTAAGGTAGGGTTTAAAGGGTAGGCCTTTAATCTGGGCTAGGGCTCTGGGCTAGGGCTCTGGGCTAGGACATCTTTTTCAGAAAGCCTTTACTATACTTTTTTAAAATAGCTTAGTTATTTATGCTAGCTAAAATTCTTAATTCAACTACTTATATTTTCAGAAAACGTGGCCAAGTACAAACAATTAACTGGTGGAGTTGAATTCTTAAAGGAAATCCCGAAAAGTCCCTCCGGCAAGATTTTGCGACGATTTTTAAGAGACAGCGAAATGAAAAAACGAAAATCAAAAATTTAATTTTGTTTTTATTGAAATTGTAATAAAATTTATTTAAAAATTTTGAAATTCTTTTTAAATTAAAAAAAATTTTTAAAAATTTAAAAATTTTTTAGCCCATGTAATAGACATTTGTTATTCTAACGATTTAGAAAAATTATCAGTTTGAATTCGATTAAAACAAGGAAGTCAATTAATGTGATTCAAATAGTTCTTTTTACAAAATGAAACATTCACAATGTAATGTCTGATCGCATCTGTTTGATAAACACTGGTAGTAATTACTAATTAGTTAGTTACTATCAGACATAAAAAAGGTAAAATAACAAACAATTGTTATGTTTGTCAAACTTTAGTAATTTGTTAAGCTTAATCTTACGCGTGAGGTAATTTAGCCAGATTTCATTTTCAGCGCCTGAGATTACGTCTTCTAAGCCTAGGTCTAAGCTTAAGTTCATGTCTAAGACTACGCTTCAGCTTAAACTTGTAATAAACTTATGCTTAAGCTGCAGCCTATAACTAAGCCTAAGTCTCTTTTTAAGTTTAAACTTAAGCGGACTAGGATACTAAGCCTCAGCCAAGTATCATCAGTTTACCAAGACTGAGGGTAAGGCAGGGTAAGGCAAAACAAAGGTATAAGAGGAGCAAAACAAGGAGTAAGAGTAAGACCTCAATAAGCTTAAGCCTACTAAGCTTAAGCTTACTAAGCCTGACCCCAGTACTCCTAAACCCAGTACGCATAATCTTCACAAGCTTAAACCTACTAAGCCTAAGATTACTAAGTTTAACTTTATTGATTCTGAGCTAAGCTAACGAGGCTAAATTGTACTAAGCTTAAGACTACTAAACCTAATCTTAAGCCTACTTGGCTTAAACGTATTAAATGGGAACCAACTCACCTTAAGTTTACTATGCCTAACAACACTTCCCTTGTAAGTTTATTAAGCTTAGGCCTAGTAAGCCTAAGCCAAGTCAACTTAAGCTTACTAGAACTAATTGTACAACGCTTAAGCCTATTGAAGATAAAATTTTAAACTTGAAATAATAAGTATTAAAAGTTTATTATATTATACATGTAAAAAATAAAAACCAATAATCAAATATATTTTTTCGACCAAACAAACCGAGTATAACAATACAGAAAAGATCAAAAGAACCAATAATAAAAGATCGGCTGAGCCTGGACGTTCGAAAGCCCATTCTTAGTCCTCAAATTGGCCTCATTTACCATATCGTTGTACTGTTTCTTTCGTTCTTCCTCACTCAGATCAGGAAAACAGTTCCTGCAGTACAATGAGCAGCAGTTACACGTTTGTCGACACATCGAGTTCATCAGTCTTGTAAATCGACCAGTCCAACAGAAGAAAGACAAATGTGGACATAGGTTTGGCTCACTGTTCACACATACGTCTGCTTGTACTATTGTTAAATTTAGTAGCACTAAGGTTGATATTAGTACAAGTTTAGGGGTACTCATGGCTTTTAGTATAAGATAAGGCTTAGTAGTCAAATTAAAGTATTTAAAAAGTTGTTACAGTAACCTAATTCAGCCTTAAACTTGATTGTAGTAATACAGTAGTGTCGTATGCTTTTTTACCGTAAGCTAGTGATAACTGAATTTTAGTTACTGCAAACTAATAGTACTAGAAAAGTTGCTACAGTAATTCAATACCGCTTTAAACTTCCTTGCAGTAATACAGTAGTTTCTTATAGTATGTTAAAGTAATGTTACTGTAATGTTACTGTAAGCTAGTAGTATTCAAAGCTTAGTTACAGTAATCCGATCGTACTAAAAACTTTGATGTTGTAGCCAAATATTACTAACTAAAAAAAACTTTAACTCTAGCCTTATTACAGTAAGATATTAGTATTCTAAGCTCTACTACAGTAATATAGTAATCTCCAGCACTTTCTTACTGTAAGCGTGTAGTACTAAATGCAAAAAAAACCTTGTAAATGTTGTAACTACAAGACTGACATGACTTTTAATACTTTCCTTGCTAGTACAGCTGTAAAAACATACACAATATTTATCCAGCCGGCTAGTTTTTTTTCTTTTGCAGGTCAAAAGTCAAATAATTAAAGGTTTGAGCTAAATATGGACTAAACGGTATGGGTGCAATAAACAAACTACAATCTGTTTTATGATTTCAATTTTAAGCTTAATATTAAAATGATTTTTTAAGCATTTCCAAAACAACCCACAAACAATGGAAATGTCACCACATTGTCTTTTTGATTGCCGAAATGTTAGTCTAGCCATTTCGATATTATTTACACGTTCGCACACTTAAAATATGATTCTCTTATGTGTGTAACTTTTGCGAATTTCTCGCCACAAAAGCTTTAACAGGACCGAAAGGGGGGCTTTTTAAAAACATTGGAAATAGCAAGAGCTTTAGGAGGGTAATATATGAAATGGCAGAGGTTTTGGAAAGTCAAAATATTGGGGTTTAACGGGGTATGGTTTAAAATGGCAGATGTTGAAAGGTTGATAAGATATGACATGGTTTTTAGAGGATTTTTCGGCGAAATAAGATATTTTAGAAGGTTGTAGAACGTTGAAGATATCAAAAGTTTTGAGAGGGTCATATATGAAATGGCAGGCTTTTTAGAAAAGAAAAATAACATGCTTTAAGGAGGTAATGTTTAAAATGACAGAAGTCGAGGGGTTTATGAGATATGGCACGTTTCTTAAAAGGCTTCGGCAACAAAATAGAAGAGGTTTTAAAGGCCAGACACGATGATTTTAAGCGAAACATAATCTTGTTTAAGACAAGATATAGACACGGCCAGACACTGCGACAAAATAAAAATATAACCCTTGAAAAGAATCGCGCTAGAAGTGGCATAAACACAACTTAAAGCGCGGAGAGCCGCCTGGCCGTGTTAAAATTCGCCCCGAAAGCCCATGCCCGCAGAGAGTATTCTCTCCACGCCCAAAGAGAGTATTCCCTTTATCATAGACCTCTCTCTATAAAGAGACCATCGACAGTTAGATATCAGGTCTTGCGAAGATGGTCAAGAGAGTTAGAGATCATATAACATGAAGATAGCCGAGACAACTAGAGAATGTGTTACAGCAAGATGGTCGAGACAATGACAGACCACACGATTCAAAGAGACCACAGAGAGCCCGAAGCCCCCGAAAGCCGGGTGGAAGAGGAGAGGCCGGGAAAACCTCGGGGCTCCGCGTCTTTTACGTTTCCGAAGCGCTTTCCCGAAATAAAACCTTCAGGGCATCTGATGGGAGAGCAACACAGAAGAGGAAACTTTTGACGCCTCAGGCACAACCTTTATGTCAACGGAGCGGTTTGGGTTGATTGAAATGTGATTTTGTTAGATATTAAGAGGGTATTTGTTAGACATTAGTAGGGTATTGAGTAGTGATAAGTTTTGATAAGAGTAGTGATAACCATAAAAGACATTTTGTTCATTTTTAAATGTTTAATTTTTTTTTCTTCCATCAGATGCCCTGAAGGCATCTGATGGGAGTTTTGTGGTCTAGACTTTTGTTATTAAACCTATTATGACTTTTTTTTGATGAGACAAACAAAAATAAAAAAAAGTCAGGAGCTTATTTTCAATTTATAATAAGACGGGGTAAAAAAAAATTTTAAATTTTTGATTTTTAAGCTTTTTAAAGTTTTTACCTTTACAATTTGGGAAAAGGAATTTTTTTTTGACTTTGTGATAAGTATTAACATGTTTTTTTCTTAAATATGTGGCAAACCAAACTACACGTTAGGTTTGACAGGGCCTTGGCCTAATAAACACATTCTTTTTGTAGCTGATATTGTTTTACATTGTTGTAGGCATAAAAACAAGAGTGTAAAAACTGATTTTCAATAATAAAAATTATTTTTCAAACTTTTTTTGATTTTCATATTCAATTTTTGACATATTTTTGTTATTTTTGATCCTACTTTTAGTTTTTTTTAATTGTAATAGTTAAAAAAATTTCAAAAATCATTAAGTTTTTGTTTTTAGAATTTAATTTTTTTAAAAATAGTTTAATAAGTACGTAGTGTACGGCTTGAGAAGGCTAGAATAGAGCTAGAGTAGGGCTAAGGAAAGGTAGAGTATAATAAAGCTAAAGTATGGCAAAGTAACGTAAAAGTAAAAACAGAGGGTAGGGTAAAAAATCTTTAACTTAAATTTAGAGGAGTAGATTTTAAAACTTTTTTAGACCATAGGCAAAAGCAGGGTAGGGTAGGGAAAGGTTTGCTCTACTTTAATATTACCTAAAATTGTCTCATTTTTTTGCTACTCACTCAAAGATGACCCTTACCTTCTCCTTCCCCCCCCTCCACCCGTACTTTTCTCCTCCCCCCCCACCCTTCTCTTCCTTACCCTCCTTTACCTTAACCCACCCAACCGACTATACATCAACATACCCAACTGACCATGAACAAATAGCCGTTTAACATATCAATCATTTCGGTGGGGATTAGTCCCACTGCCTTGAAACTCGTGTAAATCCGTTTAGTATCGTTTATGAGATTATTGCGCAATGACATCTTCATCGCCAAACGGAATTCAGTTTGACATGGCTCGTTATTATTGATGTACATGCACTAATACTCTATTGCACGGGCTTTTTTTGAAAAAAGGAAGGAAGTGGTTGAACAAGGGAATGTGTTTAAAAAGTATGGCTTTTGAGTATTAATGGTCTTTATATTATAGTAGGGCTGGTATAAGTTAATTTTTAATCATTTTTCCAAAAGGAAAGGAAGGGTTAGTGTGGTGTAGAACTACGGTAGAGATGAGTAGGTTTTGTGGGGGAGGGTAGGATAGGATAGGTTAGGGTAGGGTAGGGTAAAACTAGGGTAAAGTAAAATCGATTTTGATAGGGTAAGATAAGATAGGATACGAAAGGGCAGTTTTAAACCTTTTTTCATTATTTATCTTACCCTGTCAAAGTAAAAACCTGTAAAATTCTTTTAGGATTTATACCTAAATTTGTCGTAATAACATGCCAAAGCACAATAACAGACTTAATACAGTGTTACTAAATGTGTTATTAATTGTCACTTCTTTGTATGTGAAATCCAATTTTCGACCGTAGTATAATAGCTTATAGCCGTACCTACGCTACATTATTGTACCTTATTCTACCCTACTATACCCTACCTTACCCTACCTTACTCTACCGTACCCTACCATACCCTACCCTATTTTCCTTTTCGTCCTTTTGTTTTGCTATTCTAAATTACCTTGCCCTGCCCCCTACCCTGCTTTATTGTACTTCTCTGTACTTACATCACTAAGGCCTAGCCTTATCATGCTTTATTCTGTCCCGCATTACTCTGCTTTTCTTCACAATTGTTACTTCTACCGTAGTCTAAGGTTACCTTGCTTTACACCTTTACTTTTTTATAGTTTTTCTTGCGTTACTTTATCATAGTACATCACCTAAGCGTGTACCCCTTACCCAAAAATATATTTTTATCCCAAAGCCCAACACTATTGAAACTTTTTCTTATCACTCCCTCCTAAGCATCTCACTCCCATATTTAAGTTACATATGAAGGTAGAGTAGGCTAGTGTAACCTTAAATGTAATATTTGTTTTACACTAAATTGCATTTTCTTGCCGCCACCATAAACTTGAATATGGTCCGTCGCGTGTGTCCGCTTTTATGTCCCCATGCTTCTCTAATACTTTTTGAATTCCTCTTTGAAATTAAAATTCTCTTCGTCTAATGTTGTTCATATTGAAACAGTTATATTTTCGAGCTTGTTATTATTATGACTTGTTATTTATTATAGTAGAAAGATTGTGCTTTTGAAACGATTTTAAAGGCGATGATGATTGTTCATACTAACCTTAGTTTTAAAAATCAAAATTTTATGAAAAGTATTGTCGCTTTCAACCGTGAAAACCTTAATATTTTGACAACATGACTTTTTTATAATGTTATCCCAAAAAGCAAAACCAGGGTAAATGTAATGTAAAGTAATGCTGACAAAGTATGTTAGAGTAATACTAGGGTAAGGTATAGCAAATGGTAAGGTATAATGATTAGTAGATAAGGTAAGGCTTTAGCTAAACTAACGTAAAGTAAAGCTAGGGTAATAGTAAAGTAGGCTAAATCTAAAGTAGGGTATGGCTAAGAGAAAAGTACGGTAAAGTAAGGTAAAGTAAAACTATGGCAAAGAAAGGCTAAGGTAAGTATAAGAACAGACAAAGGTTTTGACAAGGTAGAGCAGGGCTAGAGTATAGGTAAGGTAAAGTCAGGTAGGACAGGTTAGGGTAGGGTAGGGTAGGGTAAGGTAGGGTAGAGTAGGGTAGGGTAGGGTAGGGTAGGGTAGGGTAGGGTAGGGTAGGTTAGGGTAGGGTAGGGTAGGGTAGGGTAGGGTAGGGTAGGGTAAGGTAGGGTAGGGTAGAGTAGAGTAGGGTAGGGTAGGGTAGGGTAGGGTAGGGTAGGGTAGGGTAGGGTAGGGTAGGGTAGGGTAGGGTAGGGTAGGGTAGGGTAGGGTAGGGTAGGGTAGGGTAGGGTAGGGTAGGGTAGGGTAGGGTAGGGTAGGGTAGGGTAGGGTATACTAACTTATGTCTGCTTTCACACAATGCCCGACTTCATTTTTGAAGTATTAAAAACATGAAAAATCGTTTTGTTTGTCGCTTTTTGTGTACCGTGTTCTTTCCTTGTCGCTTCATAAAACTAACTCGCTTTCATCTTAGTCCAGTCCATGTGCAAATTCTCTTGACGCTTGGCCAAAACTGAAACCTACTCTAAAGGGAAGAGTCTAGACTAACTGTGACCGAAACTGTAGCTATTCTCGGCCAAATCAGTAGCCAACCTTTGGCCAAAGCCAGCCTATCTTCAGCCAAAACTCAACCCTACCCATAGGCAGTACTAGCACCTACCCTCAACCAACCTTGAAGCCTACCCGCTCAGCCAAAACTGAAGCCTACGAAACGGAAACTGGATTCGCAAATTAACTCCACGAAAATTCGGCACGATACGCACGTTGGTTGTGACGTTCAACCAGCCACCAGTTCCGAAACAACAACAGACAACAAAAAGAACGGCACAAATGCGACGGAAACGGCCAAAGCATCGGCTTCGCGTCGCGGCTCCACGCCGCGCAAAGAGTGTAGGCTAGATGTTGTGGCGCTGTGTTGATATTGTGCTATTATATTACGGTTTTCATATTGTGTTGTACTCATATTTTTATTTGTGTTAGGTTTATATTTTGGATTAATTTATGTCCATATTGTGATGTTTTGATTTAAGTTATATCCATATTGCGACGTAGCTTTTGCTTTTTTATTAGGTTGTTCAAATAATTCTGTGCTCCCTCAAAAAGCACATTTTTGCGATTAGAAAGCACAGAATTATTTGAAAAAAGCATTTTTGTATTTTATAAATTTAAAATTTTCAACGCTGTTTTTAGCCATTTTTTTCAAATTTTTGGCCATTTTTCTAAATTTTTTTGTAGTTTTTTTTGAATTTTTGGCCGTTTTTGGTTGAAAAATTAGATTTTAAGTCTATCAACAAATTTTTTATAATAGCATTTTAAGAATGGCAAGCAATTTTTGTCTTTTAGATGGTAGGCAAAAACTTAAAATTAAAAAAAAATTTTGAAAAAAATCAATAGTGGGGACCAAATCAAACTTTTTACAAAAAAAAATTTTTTTTGTGTTTGTCCTTACTTCTACTTGCCTTATAGCACACTCTCTATTTTACCTAGCTATGACAGTGTTATTAGTTAGGTTTTTCCTGTTAAAAATGCAAAAAATTTTTTTTTCGTTACTGTCCTTGTCGACCCTGACAAATTTCAAGCCATTTTAATCCTTTTCCATGACCTGTCCTACAAAAATAAAAAAATTTTTACATATCCTCCCCATTGCCGACATTTTTTTGATAGTCATTTCAAAAAGCCCACCTTTTACCCCCTCCCCCTCCTTCCCCACCATTTTTTTTTCTTTTGATTACCATTGCTAAAAAACCCCACAGCCGTAATCAGACATTCCCATTGATAGTCGGAAAACAAGCACATTCCGAGGCCGCAAGACAAGCAAATTAAAGTTGTTTATCGGCTCAGCGATTGTACGACGTTTTGTGTCATATGCATCATTTAGCTTATTCAAGGCGTGGGAGAAACGAACGTTCGAACTGTTAAAAGTTCAAACAACTTTTCGAAGGCAAAAACCTTTGGCTTTGGCTAGGTTGAGGGTTTTTTTGATTTTGAAGCATTAAGGGGGGGGGGGAGAACAGTGATCAAGCTTCTTTTTTTAATTTCGGAGGGCAGGGTAGGGTAAGTTAGAGTAGGGTAAGGTAGGGTGGTGTAAATTAACATATAATAGACTAGGGTAGAGTAAAAGATAGTAGGGTAGGGTAAGGCGGGGTAAAATGAATTAAAATTTTTTCAAAATTTCGCTTAAAGTCGACCGTTTTTTCTTCTGATCGCCCGCTAATCGACCGTTGTTTTCTTTTAAAATCGACCACTTTTCCATTCAGAATCGACCAGTTTTTCGCTTTAGAATAAACTGTTCTTTCTTTTAAAAGCGACAGTTTTTTACTTCAGGATTGGCCGTTTACCGACTGTTTATTCATTAAAATCAACCGCTTCCTTGCATCTAAATCAATTTTTGCCTTACCTACTGGCCTTTTTTTACCTTGTAATAAGTCGTTTATCGACCCTTTTTTGGCTTAGAATCGACCGCTTTTTACTTCAAAATTGGCCGTTTATCGACCGTTGTTTTCCTTTAAAATCGACCGCTCTCCCATTCACAATCGCCCGCATTCTTTAGCCCAAAGTCGACGGCATTCTTTAGCCATGGGCCCGCTTTTCGCGGCCGGTCAATTTGCCGCTACCCGGCCATAAAAAAACTCAAGTTCTACAAGAACAAGACAAAAAAAAACAGAAAAAAGGGGATTCTTATGCTTTGGAAGACGACTCCGCGAAAAATGTCCGGACCCGCAAGACTTTGGCATCTTCTGAAACTCGGTTTCCGTTTCATTTCCGTTTTTCGTACGCCCAGAAAAACCGGGTCCAACCACAGCCGCTGGGGGGTGGGAGTATGGGCTATTAGACAACCCAGGTTATAATTAATTAGGCTCTCAGGGTTTCGAAGTCGGCTTTGCAAACGAAATAATATATTATAGTAGCTTAATGTATTCGCGCGGAAGAATGTTATGGCAAACAACCTGGGTGGGCTTTTTAGAGTAGTTAGGGTAGGGTAGGATAAAACAAGGTAAGGTGGATCAAAATTGAACAGGGCAGAGTATGGTAGGGTAGGGTAGGTTAAAGTAGAGGAGGGTAAAGTAGGGAAAGGTAGAATCAGTTAAGGTAGAATAAGGTAAGGTAGGGTAAAATATTAGCTTGTTCAAATAATTCTGTGCCTTCTAAACCGAAAAACGTAAATTTGTTTGGAAAAGGGGCACATAATTACTTGAACAACCTAATATAATATTTCTTTTTAGAATAGGAGGGGTAAAAAATAATTTTTTTTTTGCAAAAAATTTCAAAACTGCTTGAATGCTCTTGACCTATATCAACATGGTTTATAAAAAAAACATTAAAAGTTGTCACCCTGCTGATTTTTTAACCACCCTGCTGATTTTTAAATAAAATTAGCTTAAAAACTTTTGCTATCTACCCCCTCTCCCTAAGTATTTTCTCTTTCAGTGCTGATATACAGTGTTAAGTCAATGTCATTTTCTTCAAAACTTTAGCCTTTACCTTAAAAACGCTTTTTAAAATCAGCATTATTTTACTCACTTCTAGACCTGTATAGAAGCCGGGTTTAGTTAAATCACTTTCAAGCCTAGTCATCCCTATATTGACTAGACCTGAAACCTAAAAACGCTTTTACTGATGTTTGATACAGCTCTATATAATGTCAGTGTTTTCTTTTAGATTAAAATGTAATTCCAATATTTTTCTATTTAGATATCATGCCAATATTTTTCAGTGTTCCCTTTTCACGCTACTTCATTTTTATTTACAAAAAACGTAAAAAGCTCTAGAAAAGTGACATTTCTATGATGTTTTACATAGTATCAGCTGGCTACATATGAGCAAGTGAATTCTAATTATTGTCTATATTCTTCGAATTAAAGTTTTTTGTTTTATGAGTATTATTATAACTGTCATTGTGGTGTGGTGTCAAGAGTTGTTAGCATTATTGTCATTTTTTGTTCTGCTGATAGTATGGTGCATATTTTTTTAAAAAAGAAGGGGGGATGGGCAAAATATTTTTTAAATAAAAATTTTACTATACCCCTTCACTTTCCTTTTACTCCTCCTCAAAGCCAAAATCACCCCTAAAAAGCGTCAAAAAAGTCTTGTCGTTTTCGCCCCTAAAACCCTCTGCAAAACGACGACAAAACTTTTATAACTATCTTATACCCTATAGTATGACCGATATTGTAATCGTGGTTGCGAATCAATGTTGTAGTACACCGTTTTTCATTTTTTCACCATTATTTTGATTTTGAATCGTATCACCGTGTCGTAAATCCATATTTTGTTTCGTGATCTCTAGGCCGCGCTACTGGAGTATGCGTAGTAGTCGGGTTTTACTACTAAGATATTTATAGTAGTAAGATTGTAGTACTATGATGTCTATAGTACTAAGCTTTTAGTACTATAATATCCATAGTACTGAGATCCCAGTACTATGATATATATAGTACCAATATCCTAGTACTATAAAAACCATAGTACTAAGACCTTACTACTACAGTACCCATAGCACAATGGTCTATCCAAAACCCCCATAAGCAACGTTAATATCCAACACTACTTTCAGTAATTCGAAGCGGGTCGAACAACAAAACACCTCCAGATTCCAAGACTGCCACCAAATCGACCGGTCGTACCATCGAAGAATCGCCCAAATCCAAGAATTCTACCCATCTTTCCAGAGCCAGTACCAAAGTCTCGGACAGTACGAGCTCGCCACGCACTAAAAACACGCGAAGTAGTAGTATCGGCTACAGTAGTTCACCTCGAAGCGGCTACAGAAGTGGCTCCAAAAGTGCACGAAGCTACAGTGTTTCGAAGGATTCTATCGCCGAAGCTCCCGAAGCTAGTAAAAAGTTGAAGAGGCTTGACGATCGTCTACAACAACATCAAGATCACCTAAAACAACATAAAGAACATCACGAGGTATCTAGTGCAACATCGCAGACAGGTGAATACATTAATAGCCGGCCTGAAAACGAAGTTAAAGGTCGCCTCGAAACCGAAGTCAATCTAAAACACGCAAAGTCAGGTGATATACCGTCGGAAAACCACCCTCAACCGACGTCCCAAAGTCATAGTGCACACGCCACGCCGTACAACAATCAGACGGCCGGAGGGTTCGGAGCGTTGTTCCGCGAGACCAAAGGACACATCAGCAACATCCTCGATTCGGTCACACAAGGATTATTTACTAACCGAGTGAGTTATATGTTCGTCAACTGGATTTTGAAATTTTTGTAAAATTTGGTTTAGGCTGGGGTATTTAAAGGCAAATATTGGGGGGGTAAGGTACAAGCCGGTTAGTTTAAAATTAGGGTAGGAGTAAACGTATGGCGGATATTTCAAAACTTATAAAAACCTTCCGACCGTTCCTAACCCACAAATTGCAGTTCTTCGGAGGTGCTGTAGACCAAATACCGACGTTGGAAAGTTGTTCGTCCGCTTTCGAACCAGCCACACTAGATCGACCAGGGTTCGGTTCACCATTCCGTAGAATGAATGCTTCTACTTCACAAAACTCTAACGGTGGAGATGCGTTTTACGATGTAGAATTCAACGATACAAGATGTCGTCTACTAAAGCGATATGGTAGTGTTAGGGTCATTGGTTCTGGCGCGCAGGGTCTTGTATTGTAAGTTTGATAATGTTAAACCTGAAGTAGAACTTACTATAATGTATCAACATTAAAGTAAATTTTATTTTGGTACTCAAAAAAAGTTTTGCCGCAAATTAACATTTATTGTAATGATAAAAAAGGACAAAACTTTGTTGAAGCCCTAATAAGTATTCAATTTTTCTAAAGTTAAATGTAAAATACGATGAAAGCTACTGTTCTCCCAAATGAAAACGTTAATGTAAAACCTTATTTTAGAGGAGCATACGATAATGTAACGTGTAGCACGGTGGCTATCAAGAAGCTGACTAGGCCCTTTTCTAACGTTACCCATGCCAAACGAGCATATCGAGAATTTGCGTTACTGAACCTTGTTAACCATCGAAATGTAAGCTAATTTTACTCTTATATTAGCCATGTTTAGATTATTCAAAATGCCTATATTATGGCCAAATATTAGGTAACAAACTTAATTTAGTGTCCAAAACTCAGGTACCTAATAAGCCTACCATAAGCTGAAAGTTAAGTAATAAAAATGGTAATATAGTCCTCCTTTTAGACAATTAATCCCTTCACATGAACCACCTAACTATCAAAAATATATACCTAACATCATCATGTTGTTCAAAAAATTATAAGCCCCTCCCGAAGCAACTTTCAAGAGTTAGGAGGCACATAACTATTTAAACTAACTAATAATGTTAACCTAGTATAAATTTAGATAATTAAACTCCTCAACGCCTACACGCCCCAACAAAACCTGGAGACGTTCTGTGACTTGTATTTGGTAATGGAGCATATGGATGCCAACTTGAATCAGGTGATTCAGATGGACTTGGACCACGAACGAATGTCCTACTTGCTTTACCAGATGTTGTGTGGTATCAACCATCTGCACAAGGCTGGAATCATTCATAGGGTATGTTAATAATCGGTTTTGTTTTTAATTATCTGCCTTCTCTTATATACTGTAGATATGATAGTGCTATAACCTCACTAATATGAGTACCACAGTACTAGGATTTTAGTATTATGGACTTTATAGTATTAGAATTTTAGTACTATAGACATCATATTGAACATAGCCTCCCTTTTACTATATTACCTATGCCTTTCAGGACCTAAAGCCCAGCAACATCGTAGTCAACCTAAAATGCGAGCTCAAAATCCTCGACTTTGGACTAGCCAGAAACACCGGCGACACCGCCATGATGACCCCCTACGTTGTCACTCGCTACTACCGCGCTCCAGAAGTCATCCTCGGAATCGGCTACAGCGCCAACGTCGACGTCTGGTCGATCGGCTGTATCTTTGCGGAACTCATCCGAGGTCGCGTACTATTCCCAGGTACTGATCACATCGACCAATGGACCAAAATTGTCGAAGTTGTCGGCACTCCTGGCCCCGAATTTACTGGTCGATTGCAAAACACAGTCCGAACGTACGTCGAGAATCGACCACGATACGAAGCCAGGCCATGGAAGGTGCTGTTCCCTGATAATGTCTTCCCAGAGACGGTGGAGCCAAGGTTGTCAGCTTCGTGTGCTAGAGAATTGTTGGCCAAGATGTTGATTATTGATCCGAATTATCGTATCACCGTTGAACAAGCTCTACAACATCCGTATGTTCATCTGTGGTATGATGCTGAGGAGGTGGAAGCCCCACCTTCCGGCCGCTACGATTCGGCTGTGGAATCTGGAGAACATACGGTTGATGATTGGAAAAGTGAGTTGAAGCTTTCTTTGGTTAATATCCTACTTTTTGTGGTTAATATCCTGCAGTTGAAACCTAAATTTAAAAAAACACCAAAAAAACTTACTATAATATCGAAATTTCGCAGCTTCCTTGGGTTTATCCGTATTATCCATGTTTTAATCGATGTATTTTAAAAATTAAAGTAAATAAAATGATTCCAGCGTTAATCTACAACGAGATCAAAGAATACGAAGGTCTTCACGATATTTACGGTGGTGCAGGGCCAGAAAACGACCTGCGTAAAGTACAAAGAGGTGAGTTGTTACCTAAACTTCTAAAAAAAATAAATTATGAAAAATTTACCTGTTGTTGATCATGGTGAATAGAAACGATCAATCAAGTCCATTTCTCAGTAAAAGCAAAATTTAAATGACTAAATTTGAACTTTTCCTCCTGAAACACCTAAAACTATATATAACGATACCTAAAAATGATTTTAAAGCCCATTCACAAGTAAAACGCCTTCAGAATTAACTAAAATCAAACAAAAAACAAAGACATACCTTAACAAACTCCATTTTCAGCTCCAACAGCCACAGCCGAGCAAATGGAGTTCGAATGAGCAAGTACAACATCGGGCCTTCTCAGATATACATCATGGCATTCGTTAGGATCAACAGTCTTTTACTCAATCAAACACAACGTTTGAATGCTCACAATTTGAGTTTCTCGTCTAATTTTAACTTTGTTTTCAAAAATCTTTCACGGGTTTCAATTCACTCATCTTTTCATTGTTAATATTGTATTAATGTTGATCTAGTGGCGTTAAATTTATATTAAACATGATTAGGCTTGATTACGTTAGTATAAATTTAACAAAAGTTATCTTTAGTATTATATTAACAATTTGTTATTAAATCTAAAGCATTGAAAACGTTAGCAGTCAAGTTATAATAGAATTAACAAGATCAATGTTAACGTTATCGAGCGATAAGGTTAATATTAACGTGGAAAGTGCTGATTTTCAATGCTAAAATCACTTTACTATGACATATTTAAACTGTAATAAACTTACGCTTTCAATTGGATTGGAATTACGCATGAAATTGACTTATAATTGACACAAAACACAGTTATCGGCCTGGAACCGACGGTGAATCAGCTCGGGATCGAACTTTTTTTGATTTAGTTTTCAAACACTTATAACTCTGTCGTAAAGTAATATACAGAAATTAAAATTTTCCAAATAAATACCACATTTCATGTTAACAAAACGTATATTACTGATTTGCAAAACCTCAAATAAGACATTCTTTTAACACGTTTCAGCGTATAACCTGTCACTCCGATCTGCGTTTCAAAATAATGTTTCGGGCGCGCTTCGCGAATAAACCCTATTATATTTTATTTCTTGCTAAACTTTTGGAGAATATTTTGTATTATCGTCCTTTCATTACCATTTTATAGTATTTTATACTGCTTTTTGTTATTTATTTTATCAGTAACTTCAGATTCAAGATGGCAGCCAAGGTCAAGCCCGGAAAAGCTTCAAAACTCGCCAAGTCTCCTAAAGTTATTCAAAAAAAGAAGCCAGAAGAGTCCCCTAAACCTGTTGAAGCTGTGAAACCAGAAAAAACTGAGAAGCCGGCGGCTAAGCCAGCTAATAAGCTAGTTGCTAAGCCAGCTAATAAGCCAGTTGCTAAACCAGCTAATAAACCAATTGCTAAACCAGCTAATAATCCAACAGCTAAGCCAGCCAATTCTCCAAAATCAGCCAAGTCTCCAAAGCCAGCACAAGAGGATGCGAAGTCTCCTAAACCAAAAGTTGAACAACATAAACCAAATCCAGAATCTATGGCAAGGACGGTTTTTGTTGGAAATCTCAAAGTCAGTGAGAAGAGAAAGACGATCGAAAAGTTGTTCAAGCCTTATGGAGAGATTGAAGCTTGTTATAAACGAAGTTTGTTGGGAAAAACTGAGAAATTGACCAAGAAGATGTTTGGAACTGACGAGAAGTTGAACAAATCTGTCAGAGATTCCTTCTTCTTTGTCAGATTTGTGAAGGCTGAGGATGCACAGAAGGCCTTGGAGTTGTAAGTTTATGTTTTTATTGTTTTTGTTTGAAATTTAGGTTTTCACGGCGATTAGTAGGTTTTAGGAAGTATCATGGTTAACATGATGCTTTTTATCATAATTTTTTTGTAAAGAAAGCTAAAGACTTGGAACTTTGGGTAATTGTAGACCATCCTTTTGCTTAATTTTTAAGATAATAAAAATTTTAAAGTTTGCAGCTGAGATGATGTTACAGTAGCTTTGTCTTACCCTATTTTTTAATAGATTTACTTCATTTTTTTGAACGCTTTGGAATTTTAGCGTATATAAAGTGTGACTATCTAGTTAATTAGGTAAAATTAATGTTAATTTATCATTTAATCAATTACAATATTTTAGAAATGGCACAGAATTGGAAGGTCGCATTATTCGGGTAACTTTGAGTAACAAAAAGCAAGTTGATTCGTCAAAATCCGTGTTTGTTGGCAATCTACGTCGTGAAGTGACTGAACAGCAACTTTATGACTTTGTGAAGGAAAAGATGGGTGCTCCAGAATCCACACGAATTGTGCATGACAAGTTTTCTGGCTTTGGCAAAGGAATTGGCTTTATCACCTTCAAGGACAGTTCTCAGGTGCCATTGGCTTTGAAGCTGGACGGACAACCGTTGAAAGGAAGGCCAGTTCGAATTACGAAGATTGCCAAGAAGAATCAGGTAATTTTTAGTTTTTTTTTGATGTTTTTAGGTTAGATAATTGATGTTATAGTAGGTTCAAGGTCCATTTTGGGCGCTAAAGTTTTCACAGCTCTTTCATATTATTGTAACTTTTTGTCAGGTGTTTTTTAAGTTATTTGAAGAAGCAGGAAGCTTTGCATGCTGTTGTTATGATAGTCATTGGTTTTTTACACTATTTTTTTTTGCGATCATTCAGTTCAATTAAGGTTTATCAGCTATTTTTTAGTGTAAAAAGTCTTTTTATGTTGATGTAATTGAATCATTTGTTTTTTTTTAGTAATTCTAATATATTAAAAGATAAAAGCACCGTATTTTACTATTTTAATTCCAGCGACCAGTGGCAGACCCAAAGGATCAGAAGAAGAAGGCACAAAAGACGGCCAAGAAGCAGGAAGAAAACAGTTTAAAACAGAAGTTGGCCAACTATACCATCACGAAGAAGACTCAAATTGCCACAACTGCGGCCAAAAAGATACCTAAAAAGGTGAAGAAGGTGATTCAGAAGAAGAAACAAAAGAAAACTAAGTCTTTGATGGCTTAACTTGTTGTTAAAGGGCTTATGAGAGCTTAAATTTATGTTTTAGGCTGTTTTAAATGTTTAAACTAAGGTTTTAGATGCTTTCGATAGCCTAAAATATTGTTTTTGACCTTTTGCTGCCCTGAATGTTGTTGTATTAAAAAATTATTTGGAAATTTTACTTTTTGTTGAGTTGTAATGATATTATACATCTGAAATTTAGATGTGTAACATCGTTTTTTTACATATTGTTATTGTTGAGTTTGCTGTTACATGAACAATTTAAATAAAGTTGGTAATTGGATTTAAATTTTAAGTTTTGTATTGAAAGGAGAGGTTGTTTTACCTTGCAGAACTTATAATTTACCCCACTCATATATTATTATATTTTACCTTTCATGCTCTACTCTACACACCTTTGTGAAGGCTGAGGATGCACGTACTTTACTCTTCTTCATTTTGCTGTAAAGTACCTAACCGTCCCTTATTCTGCCTTAATTCCTTAAATTGATATACACGTATCAAATGTTTAAACAATAATATTGATCTATCTATATAATACTAAGAAAACATGAAGTTCCTGGTCGAATGTATGTCTCGTTTTTTTACCGTGTCGTGTTCCCGGAAGGGTTTTGTATTGACTGTTTCATATTATCCTTCATAAAAAAGGATTTATCAAGTTTATTAATTACTGCGGCTCAGGACGTCTTACTACCTTATTCTTTTATGATTCTACCTTACCTCACCCTACCTTTCCCTGCCGTATTCTACTCTACTCCTGCCAAACATCATCTCATAGGTAGATATAGATGTTTGACACCCCAAAATGTCATTGTTTTCGCAACAACTGATCAAAAATAGCTCGCAACATCAACAAGACCACCCATGATGATACTTTTTTCATTTTTGATGATTCAAAGTTTCGCGACACGTGAAATCAAAAAAGTGTAACATTTTCTCAACTATTTTTTATTGAGTTCATAAAAAATTGAACCGACTAAGCTACCATAAACAACATACGTAGGAGGCGGTGCATAAACAATAAGTTGCCTTTATATATGTTGTGAACACTGACACAGCTAACAAAATTTGTTTGTTTTAATATATATAGTACTTTGAAGTGTATATCATTAGTTTTGTCATATTGAAAATGACTGCCACCACCCTAGACTTTTACTTTGACATCCTGTCGCCTTATGCTTACATGGCCTACCAGGTAGGTTATAGTACTATTAATTGGCTTAAAATGTAAATTTGACTTTATTATTGACATTTCTTCGATAAATTATAATTTTTTTTAAGAGCAAGACAAAAAACAATTTAAAAAAGTTTTTTGACCCACCCCTTAATAAAAAATAAAATTACCCCGCCTAAAATTTAAAATTACATTTTTTACTTTTTCAGTATTTAAAAATCACTAAAAGCAAAGTTTTCAAAAATTTTTTATAAATTCCACCCCCAAACTCAAAAAAAATTTACCCCGCCCAAATTTTAAACTAATTTTTTTGCTATTCCTACTCCATAAAAATGCGCAACAGCTTAAAAAAACGTATTTTACACATTATTTTAAAAAGTTACAGTACATTTTCATCTTTCAGATTGTCCTTAACTACGAGCACCAAATGAACGTTCAAGTCACATATCGACCGGTTGCAATGGCCGCCCTTTTCAAACAGTCAAAAAATCTTGCTCCGGGCTTTATTGACAACAAATTTCACTACCTAAAAAACAAAATCCCAGCTTATTGTCGGTATTGGAACATTGAGAGCTTGAGCATTCCTACTGTAAGTTGGGTCTTCGACTTTTTTGAAATTTTTGAAAAGTTTGTAAAATTTTTTGAAATTCTTGTTAATGCTATTTGAAGGTCATAAATGAAGGCATATTTTACAACAACTTCATAAATTTAGGGCGGGTATTAAAATAGTTACCGTAGTTTAAAGATGGAAAAAAGCGAATGTTTCCAAGCGGATTCGAACTTTTTTTAATTTTCGACTGTTTTAAATGAGCATAACTTTTTTAGAAATTAAGATATAGACACAAAACTTTGTAGATATATGCTAATTGTTCTGCTTTTTTAAACTATATAACTAAAATTTTAAATAATTTGCGAAAATTTTTTCAAATTTCAAAAAATATCAAGATTTTTAAATTTTTTTATTTTTTGCCATTTTTAAAAGCCTATAACTTGACTTAATATCACTATATCAATATAAAACTTTATTTATTAATATAAAGTTTATTGCTTTACAAAACGTATAAACTAAATTTTTTATAATGACTCACATTTTTTTAAAAAATGAGGTCAAACATCCCATACTATGCCTTCAAAACGCCTATTATAACATCAAAAACTCCTTTCTAAACCTTATTTTTCAACCTTTTCAGTGGTTCCGAGAAAAAATGGCCAAAGCCTCATCAATGGAAGCCCTCCGCGTTATCACCTACATTCAACTCTACCATCTTGAAGAGTTTCATACTACAGTAAACGCCTTCTACAGTCGGTTATTCAAAGACAGCCGCACAAACTTTGTTTCCAGTGATATTGATGAACTGTTGACTGATCTCGGTTTCTCATTGGGGTTGAAAGAATTATCAAAATCCGATGAGATCAAGGAGGCACTGAGGTCAAACATTAGGACAGCTTTTGATAATAATGGTTTTGGAGTACCATACATGGTACTGAATAGGCCTGGCGAAGAGACTCAGACCTTTTTTGGGGTGGACAGTCTGCCAATCCTTTTTAATGAGCTGGGCATCTTTAGGGTTGAGTTTCCAGTGCAATATGCCAAATTATAAAAAGGTACTGTAATTTACTGTAACTTTACTTCAATGTGTGAAAATACCTACTGTAACTGTACTAGCTTTTCAAAAAGGTACTGTAATTTGACTAAAATGTAAAAAAAATCTACTGCAACTCTACTGTCTTGTAAAAAGTTACTGTAACTCTGCTGTGTGTATAATACTATGTACATATCGTATCTACTTGTATATACTGGATGACTACTCTATTTTCCATTTATTGTCTTTGTAAAGAAAGTTCTTGCCATTTTTATTTTGTAAAGAAAGTTCTTGCCATTTTAAAAATTATTTCAAAAACTTTTGTTGGTGGAAGATTTTTAGTGCAAAATACATTACAAATCTTCTACTGACAAAACTTCTTAAATATTTTTAAAAATATTTTCCAAAATCAATACTTATATATATATATTGACTAAACCTGTACATACTGTATATATTACTGTAAATACATTATTAAATATCATAATAAATAGTTTATTAACAACATATATATATATAAACATCTGTGAACGATATGAAAAGCACCGTACTCTTTGGGGAATGTGTTTGTAGGCACAATAATAACTAGACTTTCACAGTAAAGAATTACTGTAGTAAGTTACTACAGTAAATCTTTTTTACCGTGGTATATTACTACAGTAATTCACTATAAGACTGAAGAATGAGGAGAATGAGCTGATTCTGGAGGTACATCAGTCACCGTGGAAGATGGCGTCGTAGTGCCATTATTGATTACTAATACAGAGGCTGAGGCTAGCATTGCTGAGCGAGCACTTGGACTAAAATAATCGAATATTAGCCTACATTACCCTACCCTACCCTACCCTACCCTACCCTACCCTACCCTACCCTATCCTACCCTACCCTACCCTACCCTACCTTACCCTAACCTACCGATCATATCCGTAGCTCCCAGACTTACCGTAACCAAAGCTTATGTAAGTACAGTACCTCTAGCATTTATAACTACCTAAAGATACTAAACAGTACTACACAACCCTTAAAAAGCCTATCCCACAGTAAGTTACAGTATCATACTCTATCTGTTTCTAAAATATTTGGCCCTACACAGTACTTTGAAATCATACCTAACCTAACCTTCCGTATCCTACCTTACCCAGCGTACTCTCTGCTAAACATACTTATCCTACCCTACCCTACGCCACCATACACTACCTTACCTCATAGTATTCTCTTCGATGGCCTCTGGCAGTGGATTCCTAGCTAGCGCTTCTTGAGCTTCTTTCCTTGTCACTAGCCCTACATTATGAGGTGATGAGGCTGGAGATTCGGCGGTGACCATATAATCCAAATCTGTTTTTGTCATATGGATACTCCTACTAAAAATATTTTTTTTATTTGAAAATAATCGAAATCCATTAATTCTTTCGCATTTTCATTTTTTTTGTGAAATCCATTAATGTTTTCGCTTTTTTATTTCAAAGTATTTCTGACCTTAACCCTACCCCCTACCCACACCTTACCTCTACCACTGTCCAGCCCTTGCCCTGCCCATAACAAAACTACCCGAATAACGAAAAAACTAATGGATCCACAAAAAACTTTCAATTTAAAAAAAAATTAAACTTACTGTTTATAACACCTCATGCACATAATCAACACCGATACTGCTACCAATAACAATACAACACAAACAGCTAATATGATAGAATCTGTCCATGAGAAAACTAATCGACTGGCCACGATTGGCAGTTGAACATTCATTACTTTTAGATCTGGATCGTCGAGTTTCTCCTTTGATTGGTCTAGCAAGCTGAAAATGTCTTTTTTTAAACCTTTATATTTTAAAAATGCAAAAAAATGCGAAATCCGAGCTAATTTGTGACATAATGTTGAAAATCAATTAATTTTGTGACACTTCGTCAAAAAATCAATAATGTTTGGGACATTTTGTAAAAAAAACATAAAAAGAGGTGTATCAGTGACATTTCAACAAAAGTCAGAAAAACCAATATATTTTATGACATTTCGTCAAAAATCAGAAAATCCAATACATTTTGTAACATTTCGACAAAAATCAACAAATTTTATTATATTTCGTTAAATTGTAAAAACATTTATCTAATTTGACATAAAGCAAATTCTAATAACTTTTTTTTGACATTCTTTTACCAACAACAAAAATCCAATATATTTTGTGGCATTTCGTAAAAAAATTCAATAATTTTGTGACATTTCGTCAAACTGTAAAAAAAGTAAAAAATGCGACATTTTACAAGTTGTAAAGAAAGTTCTTGCCATTTTTTAGTTTGTAAAGAATGTTCTCGCCATTTTTTGTATTGTAAAGAAAGTACCTGTCATTTTTTGTTTTGTAAAGAAAGTTCTTACCTCTTCAAGATGACAGCATCAATCGGAATCTTTGAAGTTTTGTCCAAAGCATAGACGAACAAATGGGTTTTATTCAAGACTGCTTGGCCATCTTCTTTGATGAGGATTTGTTTCAACAACACTCGGGCGTCTTTTCCTGTTAAATTCGACAACTTCTTGGCAACTTGTTGCTCATCCACTTCTGATTCTGGCTTGTCAACGGCCAGGAATAGGACGTTGGTTCCTGGTGCTAGTTTGTATATCTACAATAGTATTAATATATGTGCCATAGTTTAACAGATATATCTTTTATCCCCACCCTACCCTGTTCTACACTACCCTACCCTACCCAACAGTAGTCTACCTCACACTAAATAAAAAAATTCAAAAAACCCACCGTCAAATAGCTAGAAACCTGATGTTCACCATCATCAACCGTAGCCTTCAGTCGATACTCATCTTCATTGCTATTGGCCAAGCTCTTTGTCAATATAACCAGCCCACTGCTCTCGTTTACAGTAAAGTAGTCGTTGTGTTCTAACGAGTATGACAACGTATTTTTGTCATCGGCATCAGTAGCGACTAGGCGAACGACCGGTAGAAGCAGAGGAGCTTGCCAATCAATAATAGCAACCAGTTCACCCTTTGAGTTTTTGTTGGCAAAGACTGGCTCGTTGTCATTCTCGTCAAGCACCTTGACTGATACTAGAGCTTGGTCTTCTGATAACTTCTTTTTGGCATCTGAAAGAAAGTTCTTGCGATTTTTTGGTTTGTAAAGAAAGTTCTTGCCATTTTTTGCTTTGTAAAGAAAGTTCTTGCCTTTTTTTGTTTTGTAAAGAAAGTTCTTCATCATGCAAAAATTTTAAGCCTAACTTTTACAAATTTTTTAAAAAATTTTTTTTGCTGCATCGTGCAACAAATTTTTATTGATTCCTAGTGCCATTTCTAATTACTTTTAGGTAACAAATACTGTTTTGCATGTTATTGTACATTAGTAGCAACATATTAAAACCCATTTTTCATATATTATTTTAAAAAGAATGGCACGATAATTTTTTGAAAAATTAGTGCACAGTGCAAAACATTTTAGTTTTTGCACTGTGCTTGATTAATTTTAGGTGACAATTCTCGATGTAAATTTTTGTACAAGCTATTAAAAACATGTTAAAACGTATTTTACATTAAACACTTAAAAAATAATAGCACAATAATTTTTTAAAAAGTGACTGCACCGTGCAGTCCCAAAAAATAATTGCACAGTGCAAAAATACAAAACTATAAACTTACAATCAACAACTGGGTTGTTCGTCTGCCTAGAAGGCCTCGTGATCTCAGTGACATTGAGAACAATAAAGTGCATGCCTTTTTGCTCTCGATCCAGGGGCCCGTTCACAAAAACTTGGCCAGTCTTCGAATCCACAGTAAACACATCGTTAGCTTGATGTATAGTGAACATCACCTCACGGCCTTGCTTCTGACAATCCGATGCCACAGTAGTTAACTTGTTCTTGCCTTCCGTGTTCTCACGAATCTCAACATTGTAGATCTTTTGACTGAATTTACATTTAGAAGGCTCTGGCGCTACAGTAACCGCAGGGACTGTAACTACTATTGGCTCGCCTTCCATGAATACATTAATGACTGTAGATGAAGAGATGCCATTGCTGTTAATAGCTGTGATATTAAGAATGTGATAGCGATTCTGGTCTTCGGCTATTGGGTCACGTAGAAGAGTTACTGTACCAGTTGTGGGATCGATTTGGAAGAGGTCGGATGCACCGTCTAAAAGTATTAGAATATTAATATTTTTTATAAAAATTAATCATAAATCATTTTTTTGCGATTTTTTTACACAATCTGTTAAATATAAAAAAATCAATAATTTTTGTGGCACTTCGTCAAAAAACATTTTGATATATTCCGTCAAAAAACTGTTAAAAAACATTATTTTGTAAACTTTAAGCATGTTTAAAAAATCAATAAATTTTTTGACATTTCGTCAAAAAAACGAAGAATCAATATTTTTGTGTCATATCGTCAAAAAATGTACAAACCGTCATTTTTAAAATTTACGCACAATTAAATAGAAAAATCGGTAATTTTTTTGACAGTTCGTCAAAAAATAGAAAAATCAATAATTTTTGTGACATTTCGTCAAAAATAAAAAAAACAATAACCAATAATATAGTCATTCAAAATTCATTTTTATCCCGCCCCCACTCAAAAAAAAACTCATTTTTACCTTGCCCGCACAATAAAAAAACTTACCATTAATTCTATAAACAAACGGTGCCAATCCAGCAACAACTTGATAAACATAATCCCCACTCCTAGCGTCCTTGTTGATATTGACTGTGTGTTCCTTCTTTTTGAACAATGGATCATCAGAATCCTCAAAAACTTCGACTCTCATCAAATGTGGCGTTCTTAAGGCCGGTCTACCTCCATCCAAGGCCGTTACCTCTATCTCCAAGTCATCTGGTGGTAGTGCTGTTATCCTTGTTGTCAATGACAACTCTCCTTTAGCATTGATGTCGAACAAGTTATTGTAGTTCTTGGTGATTCTGTACTTGACCTTGCCTGCTGAGCCTTCGTCAGCGTCGGTAGCCGTCAAAACTGTGATGATTTTGGTTGGAGGTTCATTAGCATTTAAAGCCAAGACATGTGGAACGTTCTGCCACACTGGGTAGTTGTCATTCACATCCAGAATTGTTATCTTCACTTCTGCTATGTCTTTGGCAGCTGAAAGTAGGTATGTTTGTTATATGTTTGTTACTACGAATGTTAATAAGACCTTGCTTTACCGTACCCTATCATATTCTACCCTACCCTACCCTACCCTACCCTACCCTACCCTACCCTACCCTACCCTACCCTACCCTACCCTACCCTACCCTACCCTACCCCTACCCTACCCTACCCTACCCTACCCTACCCTACCCTACCCTACCCTACCCTACCCTACCCTACCCTACCCTACCCTACCCTACCCTACCCTACCCTACCCTACCCTACCCTACCCTACCCTACCCTACCTTACCCTACCCTACCCTACCCTACCCTACCCTACCCTACCCTACCCTATCCTATCCTGCCCACCCTACCTTATCCTATCTTACAGTATTCGTACTACCCTGCCGTGGCATATCCTACCGTAATATCACGCTACACCAACATAAAGTATGTTTATCTACCGTACAGTACTTTGCTGTAAAATATCCTATCATACTTTATCCTATACTACCCTTTGATACAGCATCTTATCCTAAAATACTGTAGTCTACTACATCCAATCTTAACCTATCCTAAAGTAGCATACGTTACAGTACCCTAAACTTGATCTACCTCTTCATGTACCCTATCCAACTAGAAGCTACCGTACTCTACTATACTCTGCCTTACCCTACATTACATTATTCTACCTTACATACCTTACTCTACACTATCCTATTATACTATACCGTACCCTACATTACCTGACTCTACCTTGCATACCCTACTCTACACTATCCTAATATAACTTACTAATAATACCTACCCTACTGACCATAAGCAACACAACCCTACAGTAGCTTCTACTCAAACTTACTTTAACTTTCCCTACCCTACTGTACCACACCCTAATCTCATCAAATCTATAATTTACCCTACCCAAAACAATTTTATATTATCCAAAGCTTACCTGATTTTCCACCATTCACATCACCATCTCTAACGCTGACATTAAAAACATATTGTGATATGTCTTCTCTGTCAATGTTAGCAAATGCGATTAGATCTCCAGTCTCGTTTCTAACATAAAATGGGAGTGAAGGCTCTTCCGACTCGATTTCGAACACTGGATTCTGAATGTAGCTCAAAGAATCTTTCAAAGAAGCTGGTCGAAGATTGACGACAGCACCACGATTACCGTAACGGCCTTCTGGCATCATAGCGGTGAACTTGTGGTTGGTGAAGAGTAGTGATTTTGACTGGGCATGGTTAATATTGGCATTTTCTACATTTGAACCAGCTTTTCCATGGTTAATATCAGAATTCTTGTCTTCTGAATCACTGTGAACATTGCTTTCAGGCTTTGATTTTGAAGGTTTTTCCGTGCTATGCTTCATTGGTTTATCTACATCAATATTGGTCAATTCGCTGAAATCAGGCGTATTTTCGAACAGAACTTCTGTGGTCGATTCTACTCCAAATTCTTCGCTTTGTAGCTGTTTGTGGGTTTCTGAATTCTCATTTTTCGACGATGTTTGAGCTCTAGAATCTCCATTTTTAGAAGATTCTTGACCTCCCAAACCTCGATTTGTGAAAGAGTCCTGTCCCATAAAATCTTCATTATTTGAAACCTCATGAGCTCCAGAATCCTGATCTGAAGTTGTCTTTTGACCTTCTGGATCCACTTTCGTATTTTTCGGATTCTGATCCAGTTTCGTACTGCTACTATGACTTCTGACAGTAGTAGCTTCAGCATCAATAGAAAAATCAATAGTTGAAAGTTGGCTTTTCGTCGTTTCAAATTTGCGGTCAATTTCTTCGTTCGTCACAAAGTCATTGCCATTTTCTAGGCCAGGCTTTTCATTTTTGAAACCATCCTTATCACTACCATCCACCACACCCTCTTCACTCTCCTCCCTGTCCTTCGCATCTCCACCATCCACTCCCAAAACCAAATCAATTTTTACCCCAGCCTCGGCTCGTAGCTTCGAGTTCCTAGCGTCCTGGGCCAACACTTTGAACTCGGCACGTTGTCGACCGGTCAATTCTTCGGGAACGTCTCTCATGTATATGGTGCTGGTGGCCGGGTCCACCCCGAACCATTGTTTGAATTGCTCGGGGATGATGTTCATCTTGACTGGCCCATCGCTGATGATGTCTAGCTTGCCTACAACATCGTTGGGCTTTGGGTTGATGATTTCGAATTTGTACTTGGGCTTTTTGAATTGGATTCCGGATTGGGTTACGGTCATTTTAGGCTTACTTTCACCTACTCCACTCTTTAAAGCAGTCGTCCTCCCTTCAGAAGCCATATTTTCAGAATCCTTTTTCAAACCTTCAGAATTCTGACTCATCGACGATGTAGTAGATTCTGAAGGCTGTACGGTAGCTCTTGACAAAGATTCTGAATTTCCATTTTCAAGCTGATCTGTAGTCAATTCCATTGAAGTTTCCACGCTAATAGGCTTCATCGTCGATGGATTCTGGGATTCTGAAGCTGTCTTTGTGGCTCCTGAAGAGACTCTGCTATTAACAGAAGTCTTGGTGGCTTCTAAAGCTGCGTCTTGGCCTTCTGAAGTCATAATTCCGCCTTCTGAACCCGCCTTTCTACCCTCAAACCCATCACCATCACCTTCCAAGCCTACTGTAGCCTTTCCATTACCTTCTACAGTACTTTTAGAATCAGAAGTTACAGTAGAACCTTCATTGGCTACAGTGTTGTCTTCAGAATCTTCTTGTTCCATGGATTCCACAAGATTCTCATCAATTTTCGCCATCGTACTGAACTCAAATGGCTCTGGAGTACTATTTTCCAATGAGCTGGTAGGATTGGTACTATTAATTAGGTTGGTGGTACCAGTAGACTTGTTATGATCGTTAGGAGAAGGTCTAGAATTATGGGCAGTACTAGAAGGTTGTGCAGTACTAGGTACTCTAGAAGACTCTGGCCGACCAAAAGTTACCGTACTCGGTCTACCAAAACCTCCAGTACTCTCCACAGTACCAGGTACAGTAATAATGACCGTGAACTTCTTGCTAATCTTTTGACTTCCAGAAGTCACAGTAACCACAACTTCATGTTCTCCATTCTCAAGCTGCTCAATCGGATGACCAATGTAAACATCACCATACTCCTCGTCGATCTTGAACAAGCCTTCAGAATCCGACACAATCCGGAAGTGAACATGCTTCCCACCTCGGACCTTCACCCTGAAAATCGGCGAATGTTGTTGAGCTGTAGCCGCATTCAGAAGCACTTCATCCAGCTGATTCTCAAACTCCAGCTTCTGAATCGGCTTCAGCGCCTTCAAGTCGATCGTTACATTCGTCTCCACCTTCTCGAACGGATCGTCCAGATTTACGGCTTCGACCAGTAAATGGTCCTTGGTTTTCTTGGGCAACCGGTCCATTATGGCCAGTTTGGCACTACTCCTGTTCATCTTCTTAATGTCATAGGACTTGTCATCATTTCCTTCCACAATCTTAAAATCCCAATTGCCATTTGGCATAGCGTCGATCATCGTACCATCCTCAACTTCTTCTGGAGACCAACTTTGAGACTTGTGCATGATGTGGGTCTTTTGTGATAAGGGAGATATTATACTTGATTCTTCGGCTACATCAAACAGAACTATGGTTTCGGTCTGAAAATTGTTGGAAATTAGGTTTTTAGGTAACAAAAAATGCTAAGAATAGATTTTTAGGTAATAAAAAATGCAAAATTAGATTTTTTAGGTAACAAACAATGCAAAAATTAGGTTTTTAGGTAACAAAAAGGCAAAACATGGATTTTTCAGTAATAAAATTGCAAAAAATTACAATAGGTAACAAGAAGAGAAAAATTAGCTTTTTAGGTAAAAAAAAATGCAAAAATGGCATTTTCAGATATAAAAAACAATAAAAAATTCAGTTTTAGGCATAAAAAACCAAAAAAATCAATTTTTGTTACCTAAAAATTCCACAAAAAAAATTTAAATTTCGAAAAATTTAAAATTTCAAAAAAATTTTGCATTAAAATGCTTAAAAAGTCCATTTTCCCATAAAACCCTACCTGTTTTCCCTTGGAATCACTAGCAGTAATGATCAAATTGTAATGAGCTCCCGGTTCGAACGGCTCAATGTCGTTCTTGAAGATCTTTCCATCGCTTCGAACATCCACCAAGCCTACTGCTGACCCTAAAATTTATTTTATAAATTTTTTAAATATAAAAATTGTCTTTTCATAACTAATATAACTTTAAAAATGGCATTTTTTCTACACAAAAGTCAAAATACTGCTTTTTACCCCAAAAAAAGGCAAGAAGTTTCAATTTTTTTTAAATTTAAAGATTATAAAAAGGCTTTTCAAAACTTCAATTAATAGCCTTTGTAAAACATAAAAAGTGGTACATATTCACCAAGTTTCATGTTGATATCAAAAAGTATAACAAAGTTATGTCAATTTAAAAATGTCAAAAACCAAAAAAAAGTTCGAATCCGGGCAGAAAATTGGGCCTTTTGCCATTTTCAAATCATTGTAACTTAATTACTAAACAAGATATCTTTTCAAAACCTTAGTAAAATATACTACTTTTAATGCTTTTTACAATGCAGTAGATTATTCATATTTGAAAATTTCAAAAAGGTTTGTAAATTAACAAAAAACAAAAAAAATGCTATTTTTTGCCAAAATTTTCGAGCTTTTCCATTTTCAAACCACTGTAATGTTTTTACTAAACAAGGTATCTTTATGGAACTTCAGTATATCACACTTCATTTTATGCTTTTAAAAAATAAAATTAAAAAAAAATTTAAAACTTTTTGAAATTTCGTAAAATTTTAGGTAAAAAAAGGCGCTACCCTCAACATTCTACCAAATTATTAGTAATTTAACCCGTATATTCAATAACCAAAGAGTGATTTAGAAAAAGTGTTGATCAGCTAAACTATATTAATTGTAAAATACGTTTCAAGGCTTATTAAGTCCCAAAATGTTCAAAAACCCACCAATTTTGGCTCGGTAGAAGACTTTGTTTTGGTCTGAAAAGTCCTTATCATAGGCGAAGACCTCTCCGATCATACTGCCCGCTCTTACTGCCGAATCGACCGTAAAACTGTACTTGGGTTGTTCAAACTTCGGAGCGAATTCATTTTCATCCTCCACCTTAATTTGGACTTGGGTTTGACTTCTTTGACTGCCATCTTGAGCCGTTACCGTTAGCTCGATGATGCCATGTTGTTCTTGAGGTAATGACTCTAGATCGACCTGTTTCTTCAGTATAACTTGTCCATTCTGGTTTATATCAAAGTAGTCGTTGTTGCTGATAGTAAACCGTAGCTTTGGATGTAGATGCTGTTGTTGTACAGCTATTTTGACACTATTGATGATGGTATTAACCGGCGCGCCTTCTCTGACTATTAGTCTGTATAGTTTTGAAGTGAATATCAGTTCATTTACCGGTCGTTTCAGAGTCAATGTGACTCCTACATCAGAGTAAAAGTCTGGATCTTGTTGATTTACAGCTCGTACCACCAAGAAAGCCTCGTTTTTGGTCGATTCACGGTCCATAAATAGCAAGAACTCCTCGAAAACGGTCAATTCTCCAGTAATTTCATCAATTTTAACCCCCTTAGGTAAGTCGAGACCATTAGCACTGTAAAGCGAGTATAGTACTCGGCCAGTACGTAGTGATACTGGAAAGGCGGGCAATTTGACTGGAAATTGTGCATCTGTTGCCACTTTGAGTTCATAGCCAAGTTTTTCAAAAACTGGGTACTTGTCGCGGTCTGTCATTACTACCATCTTCAGCGAGTGTACTGTACTTTGGTTGTTGTTGGGGTTGAAAGCACGGATGCTGATTTTATAAACACCTTGTTTTAGTCGTAGTAGTACTATTAGGTAGTCGTCGATCATGCCAAACAGTTGATGACGAGGGTCTTGGTCCACCATGAACTTCATGTTCTTGGCATCGCCGCTCTTTAGGCCTACTCTGGAAATGAAATCTTTTGAAAACCGTAAAGAAAATTTTAAAAAGAAGCAAAGTAGACGAGACTAGGTTAAAGATAGGGCTGGGAGAGATACGGCAAAAATAAAAGTAGAATTAAAGATGAGGGTACGGTAGAAGAAGACTAAAGATGAGTAAGAGCGAGAGAGGTTGAAGTCCGGTAAGTAGGAAGCCAACCAAATTTAAAATAAAGGCATAGTACGGTAGAAGTGAGATGGCAAAGCACTGTTACAGTAGGACCAAAGATTAAGAGTGTAGTGGTCGTGGTAGGATAAAGTCGTAGTAGAGGTATGAGTAGGGTAAGGTAGAGTAAAGTAGGGGCAGAGAAAGGTAGGATAAAATAGAATAGGGTAGGGTAGAGTGAAAAAAATTAAACGGTACAGTCGAGTATGACGGCTAAGTAAAGTTACAGTATGAGAAAGGATTAAGAAAGTGGGGGTCATAGTAGGGTAGGATAAGGTAGTAGAAGGGCTAACAAGGAAAGGTCCCCACCGCGCATTGGACTGGCGAAAAACTGGTACATACGAGTTGTAGAGCATGGTCAAATTAGTCGTAAACCGAAAAAAAATTTACCCCTCGTGGGGTTTTTAAAAAAATTTTATTACGTCGAAGTTTAAAATATTAATTCCGTTCGCGCTAGACTCGGAAAAGAAGAGGAGTGTGCCGTGCTGCAATAGCGCAGTGGTTGCGCTCTCGGCTAACGCTCAATGACCGTTGGTTCGGGTCGCGCCGAGGGCACACCCTTTTGTGCCTGGATTAAAATTTTTTAAAATAAAAAATTATTTTTTTTTGGTTAAATTTTGTTTTGTTTATATCAAAGAATCAATTTTTCTATTTATTAAGCTTGTTTTTATCCACATACTTATCCACTAGCTCGTAAGGCACGTTCAGATCACCTCAGAACAAAACTTCTCCATTATTAAAAACAAAATAAAAGCACTATTTAAAGAATAATAGAACAAACAAATTGTAAAAAAAAACAAGTTTGACCAAAAAAAAATAATTTTTTATTTTTAAAAATTTTAATCCAAGCAAAAAAGGGTGTGCCTACGCCGCGACCCGAACCAACGAGCTTTGAGCGTTAACCGAGAGCGCAACCCCTGCGCTATTGCATCACGGAACTCTCTCCTCTTCTTTTCCGAGTCTAGCGCGAGCGCAATTAATGTTTTTAAACTTCGACGTAATAAAATTTTTTAAAAAACCCCCACGAGGGGTAATTTTTTTTTCAGTTTTCGACTAATTTGACCATGCTCTACAACTTGTATGTACCAGTTTTTCACCAGTCCAATGCGCGGTGGGGACCTTTCCTTGTAAGAGTAGGGTATAGTAGGGTAGAGTAGGATAGGGTAGGATAGGGTAGGGTTGGGCAGGGGAGGGTATGTTAGGGTAGGGTATGGTAGGGTAAGGTAGGGTAAGGGTAAAGTAGGGTAGGGTAGGGTAAGTTAGGGTAGGATAAATAAGATATAGTACTTACTTAAAAATAGTGCTCCCAACAGGCTTCGAACTAGAGATATAAACTGTTTTTGGCATTGGCATGAATTGTACTGGCTCTTCCGATTCGATCAAATGAATCATGAATATTGTTGGGGTTTTTCTAGGGAACTTTGGTGCACTGTCATGAGCTTCAACAGTCAATTGAATCAACTCTCCATCTGATATTGATATTGGGGATGAGGCTTTGATCTCTCCGGTCTGGAAAAGGCATATTTTTAAAATTTCAAACAGTATACAGTAAGATATTGATAGTTAATTAGGGTTGGGTAAGGTAATATAAGGTAAAGCAGGGTAGGGCAGAGTAGAACAGAGTAGTTGGGAACGGTAGACTAAAGTAGGATAAAGTAAAATAAGGAAAAGTAGGGTAGTGTAGAGTATGTAGACTTACCTCAGAATTGATGACAAACTTTCTCGACACATGGTCCTCAATTAGACTGTACCATACTTTACCATCAAGGCCAGCATCTTTGTCAACAGCCTTTACCCTGCCAATAGTTGATCCGGCTGGGATTGGAGCTCGGAAGGAGACTTCATAACGGAACTGAAAGTATAAAAATATACCTAAAAACCCAGTTCCCCATAAACTTACATCATCAAACTCAGGGGCATTAACATTCGAGAATCCCATGTTCAGCACAGTGATCTGCACCTGAGCACGGCCCATCATCGGAGGTTCGGCCGAATCTTTTGCACTGACATAAAACGACAATTCCGTGATTTCTGGCCCCAAATACTTGGCCAATTTGACTTGACCCGACTCCTCGTCAATCTTAAAGTAGCTGGCATATTGACCACTTTCGTTGTTGATAAAGTATTTGAGTTTGGCATTCTGGCCAGCATCCTTATCAGTAGCTTTGACTTGAACCACCTCAGAGTTGATGGCCAGATCTGATGGGATTTCGACTTGATAATGAAGTTTTTCGAAGATTGGTTCGTTGTCATTGAGGTCTTTGACTACGACAATTGCCTCAGATCGACCACACTTCTTGGTGTTGCTTTCGAGACAACCATTGATCTGAAATGGCATTTAAATTAGGCTTATTTAAAAAGGTATTGAAATTCAAACTTGGTTGTGTACTGTTAGATAAAGGTAAATTATGAGAGTAAATTACCTTGAGGTTGTAGGTTTTCTTATCCTCGTAGTCCAAGGGCTTCCTCGAAGCCAGCCAGCCGCTTTCCGGGTCGATTTTGAACAGTTTGGCATCTTCTGTTCGGTCCAAAGTGTACCAAATCTTGTCTTTTCCTAACTCTACTGATCTGTGATGGGCCTGAAATTATGTGGGTAATATCAAAAATGGCATATTATAGATTTTTACATAAAAAAATAAGTTTTACAGCCAAAAAAGTTGCCCAAACGGCAAAAAAGATGACTAAACGGCCAAAAAAGTTGTATTCTAGCCAAATTTTTAAAAAAATTTTTAAAAAAATTTTCGAAATTTCAAAAAATTTTTAAAAAATTTCAAAGTCCATACCTCAATCTGAGCCAAACTCTGCTCAGGCTGATTCTCCTCCAACTCAAACCTATATATGGCTTGTTCAAACAGTGGGTTCAACACGTATTCCGACGATTTTTCGTCGATAAATACTGTCACCAAGGTTGTCGCCTGAAAATAAGATGTAAAATACGTAATATATGTTTACAATATACGAAAGATTACATTACAACATCAAAATGTAGCTAAAAGCAAGATAATTGTTAATTAAAAGCTAGATTTTTTATTTTTTCCCCCTTTACCCTTAAAATTTTGAAGGGTATTCAACTTTTTTTTGAATTTTTTGAAAAAATGACCAAGATTTTTCAAAATTCAGTTAATACCTTTTATAACCTATAAAATGAAGTAACATTTCCCAAAGTATTGTAAAGATGTCTTGTCTAATAAAAAAGTTACAGCTAGTTGAAAACAAAAAAAGTCATCATTTCCAGTCGAATTCGAACTTTTTTTAATTTTTGACATTTTTAAACAAGTATAACTTTGTAAAACATAAAGATCCAAATATCAAACTACTACCATATACACTACTTTTTCATGCTTTACAAAATGTATCAATCAAGTTTAAAAAAAATTCTTTTTAAAATTTCAAAAATTAAAAAAATTTGTTGAAAATTGGCTAAAAAATAGGTTTTCAGCTTGAAAAGGTATTGGAAAACAACTTTTATGGTCAAAAACTATAAAAAAACTAATTACAGTGATAAGATTTGTCATTTACAATATGAGATTTAGTACTATGAACATACCCCTTAACTAGGGAAAGAGGAGAAGAAGTACCTCTCTCATCTTTCATCGTTCATTCCTCTACCCCAATGCCTACCCCTACGCTTTACAAGTACTCTCCCTGAATTTTTTACGACCCTGACCTCTACCATAAGTCCACTATCCAAAAACACCCTACCACAAGCCCCACAACCCCAAAAACACCCCCGCCACAAACCACATTCACATAACCATCAAAAGAAAAGACAGAGTAAACTTGCTTGAAAAACCACCTGTGCCAGAAAGAACGCAACAGAATTAGGTAACATTCATTAACCGTTAATTACATTCCAAACGGCTTAATACGAATGACCAGAAAGCTGGTCAACAAGAAGCGGCCGAAACGCGTTGCTATGGTTAAAAACATTTTTTCCCATTCGAATTACGGTCTTAAAAGCTTAAGCTGTAAAAATGCCGAAACGTTTCCGTTACCAGTGGATTTTAAGGATTGGAAATTTATCGGCTGAGCACTAAAATTTTAAAAAAAATTAAATTTTTAGCCGTTATTTCGTATTCGTAGTAATCGTAGGAAAAAAAGAAACTTAAAACAATTTTTTTAAATAAAGGTAAGGTAAAAGTAGAAATGAGGGCAGGGACGGCGTTTGGGGGGGGTGGTTCTGGGTGACTCCCCCCCCAGAGCCGAACCGAAAAAAAATCCACAGGTAGGTACCTGTACGCGAAAAAAAACAAAAAAAAAATTTTTTGACCTCCCCCCCCAGAGAAAAACCGTAGCAACGTCCCTGAATGAGGGTATGGACATAATTAGAGGTAGGATTAAAGGTAGAAGTAGGGGTAAGACTAGAGCTCAAGGTAAGGCTAAGAGTATTCTAGAGCTAGAACTAGGGCTAGAGCTAGAGCTGAAGCTAAGACTAAGCCTAGATCGTGTCTAGGACAAGAGATAAAGCTAGAGCTAAGGCTAGAGCTGAAGCAGAGACTAACAAGGCTGAGCCATAGCCAAGGCTAGTCCAACAATAGGGCCAGAGCTAGGACTAGAGATGGGACTAGAAACAGGGCTAGGACTAGTTACCAAAAGCACAATCTATACCTAAATTACTAAAAAAGACCAAAAGCCGCCCCAAAATTATAATTTTTTCACATGACTTGATGTCATTAACAACAATAATATGCTTTCCATAACTTTTAACAAAAAGCATTATTTTTCTTCTCACAATAGCTCATGATAAACAATAAGAATTAAAGAAGCAGTCCTGTCTTTTCTAAAGAAAGTTTCGATTTTGGTGCGTTACAGTAACCGTATCTAAAAGTCGTCAATTATGAAAATATTCTCTATTGTCTATAACGTCCATATGCTTAATTTTACAGCTATACCATGTTTAATTTTGTCACATTTCATAATTTTCAAAAAAAATAAAGGTCATAGGCGCAAAATCTAAATTCGTCATGTTACAGTAATCTTATTAAAAAGTTGTCAATTACAAAAACGTTCCTTATTGCCGGAAACGTCAATACGTCCATTTTCACAGTTTTACTATGTTTAGTTTTGTCACAAATTAATTTTGAACTCAAAAAACCTAAAAAATTTTCAAAAATTTTCAACTTTTTCAAAAATAATGTTATTCTTGCCATTTCCAACCATCCATACATATCAAATATTACAACATACATTCTCAAGACTCTAACACATCATACTAAATACTTACCAAAGTCTCCCCACGTCTGCTTTTAGCCATGGCAGCGAATCGAACTTGCTCATACTCATCCTCAATCATCTTTTGCCCAACCCTCAACGTTCCATAACGTGAATCCAAGTTAACAAAACCTCGAATGCCATCCTCCAACTCGTAGTCGATTTGTTCCTTCTCCTCTGTCAGCCTGATTGTGCCAATATATTCACCTACATCCAATCGACCGGTCAAATTGAAGGTATAGTTTTCTTGGCCAAATTCGATCTTATCAGTCCTTTTATCAGTAGAAAACCGTTTTTCATTCAATGTGGCACTGCGGAAGCTTTTGAATTGAAAGGTTGTTTTGTCTTTTTTGGGCTCGGAGTCGCGGTTTTCTTCGGATCGACCGATTTGGAGCACTTCCACTTCTTCTGCCGCTTTTTCGCCCAGGTATACATGGATGGTTACTCGGGCGGTGCTGAAAAAAAAATTTTAATAAATTATGTTTGAAAAAGTTTAAAAAAAAAGTTTAAAAATTCAAAATTAATCTGATTTTTCAATATTTTTAGCCTTTTCTCCGAAGAAAAACAAGATAAAAAGAAAAAGCGACATGTTATACGATGAAACATGTCCCAACAAAAATTTTTAAAAATTTTAAAATTTATTTCAAATACTGTTCAATACAAGCCTACTACAACTATAAACATATATATTTATTAAAAATTTTTAAAAAGCGATAAATTATACGATGAAACATGTTCAAAAAATTTTTTTTTAATTTTAAAATTTAAAAAAATATTTTGGTAAAGAACTTACCGTGGATAAATATCAGAATCGTAGGCTTCAATAGTAAATGAATAGCTCTTTTCCAGAGCTGCATTACCATGTTTGTTAGCGTAATATAGTGTAGCGACTCCATCTGATTGAAATAGAGTGAAAGGTAACGTGTCGTCTAAGAAACGGTATTTTACTTTACCATAGGAACCCTGAAAAAAAATTTTTGTTCACAATGCTATTTTTGAATTCCCTTCCATTACAACCCTACCCTACCGTATCTTGAAGTATCCTACTTTGCAGTACCCTACTCTACTTTACCTTTAAGTACCCTAAATTACAGTACCTTACTCTACCCCACCTTACAGTACACTAGCTAACTCTACCCAACTTCATCTCCTGCCCACTACTACCTTGCCCGCTCTTGCATTGTCCAAGCATACCCTCCCTACTCCACCATGCTCTAATATAATCCAGCCTTGCTTTCTTTATCCTACTGTATATTAAGCTAGAATTATCCTGCTGTAACGCTTGACGTACTTTAATTCTGCCTTATGTATGACTACCAACTATTGTCTCATCCTACTCTGCCCAGCCCTTATCATTTCAATATATTGTGTCAAATTTAAAAATAAAAAGTACTTACACTGTCATCATCAATAGCCACAATGGACCCGACTTCAGTGTTATTGAAAGGGTTCTCTTCAATGAAAAAAGTGTAGGTATTACGTTCAAACCTAGGACTATGATCATTCACATCATCTATCGTAATGTCGACAGTAGCAAGTTGACAAAGCTCCAAAGATTTCGGATGCAGTGGGGTTGAACTCTACAACAATATATGCATTTTTAAAGAAAGAAAATTTTAATTTTAAAAAAATTTTAAAAATTTTTTAAAATTTAATTTTAGAAACTAGTACTTTCTACAAACTTTAGTTAAATAGTCTTGATTCAGAAAAACCAAAAGTCAGAAAGACGTATTTTACACAAATCAAACCAAAAATGTCACCTATACTTACCCGTAACCTAGCCATTACTATGAGACGCTCGATTTGCTCACGATCCAACACTGAATTATCTTTTATTGTCATTACTCCATCTGGACTAACTTCGAAAGTCTCTGTACCATTTAGTAAGTCAATGCCATCAATCTGAAATATTAAAATTAAAATTTTTAATTTTTAAAATATTAACTTTTTTTTTAAAAAAATAGGAGTGTTGGTCAACAGGATAATTGTCACTATAAAATTTTTAAAAATTTCAAAAATTTAAAAAAATTAAAAATAAAAAAGTTTAAAAAGGCGGGTTAGGGCCCGGCAGATAGGAACTTTGACTCACCGTTAAAATTCAAAAAATTTTTAAAAAATTAAATTTAAAAACCTTTAAAAAATTAAAAAATTTAAATATGATAACTCTCAAGGAAGTTGCAAGCTTTTAAAAAAAGGCTTGTTCATACTTTGTGTTGTAAAAAAATTATTTATTTTTAAAGTTTTGTGATTTTTGATCAAAAGGGTCCTCCATGTGGATATTTCAAAAAACTTATTGAAAAATTAAAAATTATTTTCAAAATTAAAAATTTTTTATTTTTTATTGTTTCAAAAACCTAAAAACGTTTTTTACCCCTGCCTTTCTATTCGCCCCACTCCGAAAAATTGTTTCTTAAAAAATCATTTTCAATCAATATTTTTTAAATTTAAAAAAAAACAAAAAAAAATTTTTTTTAAACAAAAAGCCATTTTTCCAAAACTTCAAACTCCTAAAAAGTCTTTTTTTTATCCCGCCCCCCCCCCTAAAATACAAAAATAAATTTAAAATCAACTTACATCTCCTTTGACCAAAAACTGTGTAACCTTGGTATTGACCGGTGTATTCTCATCCAAATGAACGTTGTATCTACACTGTGAAAAGTAGGTCAACTTGACTTCACTAGCATCAGTCAAAACAATCTTTGAACTAACTGCCATTCCTATATCAGCTTCCAAATACGCTTTGATAGTCAGCTCGATAGTGTCAGGTAGTTGAACATGCCTTGGGCTAGACAGATATAAACGAGCTGAATTTGAGTCCAACTTGAAGTATTTGGTCCATTCGGATGATAACAGTTCGTATCTTGGCTCGTAGTTTGGTAGATTTAAGCCACGGTCGGGAAAGATGGCTATGATCGGCTGGGTTAGGATTATTTCAAACTCGGAGTTGCGGTTCTGAAAAATATGGTTACGGGTACCTAGGGGCGATTTCATTTATGGGCGATTTCAATTATGGGCGGCATAAGTTTTGCACTAAACTTAAAATGGTACTAAAAATGGTACAGTATTATTAAAATAGTACAGTATTATTGAAATAGTACTGAAATGAATTTTTGGCCCTACTTGACCTTACCCCTCACCTTTTTAACCCTACCTGACCCTACCCCTCACCTTTTTGGCCCTACTTGACCTTACCCTCACCTTTTTAACCCTACCTGACCCTACCCCTCACCTTTTTGGCCCAATGGGGTAGGGTCAAGTAGGGCCAAAAAGTCATTTCAGTACTATTTCAATAATACTGTACTATTTTATTAATACTGTACCACTTTTAGTACCATTTTAAGTTTAGTGCGAAACTTGGGCCGCCCATAATTGAAATCGCCATAGAATCGCCCATAAATGAAATCGCCCCTAGTTGGGCGTCACGAAAAATATAGGTAAAGTAAATTATTGATATAAATGTAATGCTAGAGGTAAGCTTTAAAATAAGGCTTAAGCTAAAGCTTAAGCTAAGGCTTAAAATAGAGATAAGGCTAGAGCTTAAAGACTGGGGCTAAGACCACAGTTAAAACTCAAACATAAGCTAGAGCTTAGGCGAAAGCGAGAACTAAAGTTGAAGCTAAAGCTAAACCTAAAGCTAAGATAATGAGCTAAGGCTATAATAAAGTTTGAGCCTAAGCCCAATCCAGCCAAAAACTTCAATTAAAGGCTCCTTTAAAACCTAAACAAGGTTAGTTTGAGACAAAAACCTTACCCTAAATTCAGCTTAATCTGTAGCTAATTATAAGCCCAAACCAAGCCGAAGCTCAAGGCTAAACCCCAGCATAAATCTAATCTAAAGCACAAAAACCTAATTCTAAACTCAAACCTAAGCCTAAAGATAACCCCAAGCATAAGCTTTACCTTAACACTAAGCCTAAACCAAAACTTGCAGACATGTTTAAGCCCGTGCATGAGCATAAACCGAAGAATAATCCTAAGCCTAAACAAATTTGTCAAAGCCTAAGCCGCAGCCTAAACTTAGGTCCCAATCTAAGACTAAACCTAAGCTTAAACCTAGAAAAAAGCGAAAAAAAACGATATAAGCTAAAGGTAAAATACGAAAAAAATAACTTACTCTTGTAAAGTTACCATAGTAGATAGGCTGAGTGAAATGAGGTATAGCTTCGCGTGGGTCGCCAACCACAACCTTGAACATATTCCAAGCTGTTCTTGGAGGCTGTTGGTTATCCTAAAAGGGTGAAATTTGTAAAATACGGTAACGGTTAGTGCTTCATTCGAAAATTTTGATAAAAGTGAAATTACATAGTAAAACACCTACAGAAGCAGTAACATTAAAGTAGTACACTGGCTTCTGAAGCGCTCCAAGCACTTTCAACTTCAACTTGTTTGGAATTTGCTTTTTGGCATAACGTTTCACGGCATATTGAGTAGGTAACGTTTTTAAGTCGATAAGGTCTTCAGAAGTATACAAATCCAACTCTGAGAAATGACTTTCAATCTTGTATGTTACAGTATATGTTTCACTTGGGTCTTTATCGAATGCCACTATTGGGGTTTCTACTTCTGTGCCTAGGAGAGCGTCCTGAAACATATTACAATATTTTGAATATAAAATTTTTAAAAAATTTTACTTTGTTTCAAATTACGTTATGATACCTTAAAATTCCTTACATTGTTATAATACGTGTCTTATCCTACCCTACCCTGCCCTACCTTACCCTACCATACGCTACCTACCCTACCCTACTCTACCCTACCCTACCCTACCCTAGCCTACCCTACCCTGCCCTACCTTACCCTACCATACGCTACCTACCCTACCCTACCCTACCCTACCCTACCCTACCCTACCCTACCCTACCCTACCCTACCCTACCCTACCCTACCCTACCCTACCCTACCCTACCCTACCCTACCCTACTCTACCCTACTCTACCCTACCCTACCCTACCCTACCCTACCCTACCCTACACTACCCTACACTACCCTACCCTACCCTACCCTACCCTACCCTACACTACCCTACCCTACCCTACCCTACCCTACCCTACACTACCCTACCCTACCCTACCCTACCCTACCCTACCCTACCCTACCCTATCCTACCCTACCCTACCCTACCCTACCCTACCCTACCCTACCCTACCCTACCCCTACTCTACCCTACTCTACCCTACCCTACCCTACCCTACACTACCCTACCCTACCCTACCCTACCCTACCCTACCCTACACTACCCTACCCTACCCTACCCTACCCTACCCTACCCTACCCTACCCTACCCTACCCCTACCCTACCCTATCCTACCCTACCCTACCCTACCCTACCCTACCCCACCCTACTCGTCCTTTGTCGTACCCTATCCTACCCTACCATACCCCACCCTATCCTGCCTACAAATATTCTACCCGACCCTACCTTGCCTTATTATTGCCGTACCATACTTTTTTTACATTCCCTCGCTTTATCTTGCCCTTACCCACACTAATCTGCGCTACCGCACCTTACTTCACCCTATCCTACCATAATTAACTTTACCTTACTCTACAATACCTTTGCCCTTCCTTACCTTATGGTACCTTACCCTACCATACCCTCCCGTAACATACCCTACTTTAATATTAACTATTGTAATCAAGGCTGTAATAATACATTGAGCTCTACCCTAATGTAACATTCTTGGTTTTACCATAATCTTCAAAAAGCGCTACTGTAAGATAATATAACCTGCCATACCCTAACAGCAAAAAGAAGTAAAATACAAATAAAATTTTGACAAAAACCTTACATTAGGAACGAACACTTCATAAGGTGCATTTAAGAACTCTGGAGCAAACGTATTGAAATTCTTGATTCTAATCGTAATCAATGGATAGGGCTTTCCGTTGCATTCTACAGTAATATACAGCATCGTATTGTTGATAGTAGAAGGATATACCGGTAGAGACAATGCTTCCTTAGCCACAACCAAAAACTGGCCGTTCTTATGATGTTCCAGTTCTACTTTCGATGACAAATCCACCTTGATATTGTTTGATTTTACACTGTAAATCTTCAGCTCAGCATCTGGTGGCTCTACCACCGTATCCACCAGAATCGACTGAGCAGGGGTGTCGGCTCGGACATCAAAGAAAAAATTTGTGGCCGATTGCTCTGGGAAAACACAGTTTTCTGCATTCGTACTGGATAGTACTAGTAGATATGTGAAGGTGAGAATGGCTGTAGAGCCATGGGTTTTGGGTTTCCACCTCATTTACTGATTCTCATTCGGGTCACAGCTAAAATATGGGGATTAATAAAGTAATTAAAGCGCATGGTTAATATAAGAAATGTCATTATGGTTTTATATATTATAAGATTTCACTGAGGTAAGAAAGACAAACGATAACAATACAAAAATAACAGAAATTCATAAGAAACTACCACCATCCTAACTAAAAATTACCATTACCGCCCCCAGCTAAACTCGAAATTGTAATATCTTAGCCCTACCCTCACAAGGGAATGTTACAAACTGCCCATTCGCTTTTTAAAAATGAATGGTACCATGTGAAAGAGCGTAAAAAATTGACTAGAAATCTGGTTTCAAAAACTGCCAAATTTGTCTTACAAGCCCGCTAGCGAGCTTTAAAAATCATTATTAAAAGGGCCTTTTATGTTCATATGCTTTATTTTATTTTCAATTTTTGTATGTTCAAAAAAAATTTTTTTTAATTGTTTTATGTTTTAGTAGATATGAGAAACACCATATTCAACTCTCTTCAAAAATATTTTTTTAAAGCCAAAGAAACTAACCCTGCTCACCTTATTCTAATCATACCACAACTTCTTATACCCTACCTACATTACCCTTAAAATTAAACAGCGTGCGACAAATATAATATAAATAACAAAAAGGTCATGGCGTGACATAGCGTAATTTAAACGGTGCAGGTCAATCTTCATTTGGTAAAGAAAGTTCTTGCCATTTCTTATTTTGTAAAGAAAATTTTTGTCATTTTTTGATTTGTAAAGAAAGTTTTTGCGATTATTTGGTTTGTAAAAAAAGTTCTTGTCATTTTTTGTAAAGAAAATCGTACAAACCACTTTTTGAAAGTGTAAAACACCTGTTAAACTAAAGCAATCCTCTTTTAATGTGAAATGCTCGTAAAAGCAACAAAAGTGACAAAATTGCCGTATTTTACTCTCCCTGTTCGACGTTACTCTACCATAATTTACCCTACCCTGCCCGATTTGCACCTGGCCTGTCTATGCTTACGACTATATGCCCTGCCCTTCCATGCTCTAACATGCCCTGCTTTGAATCGCCCTGTCATGCTCCTGCCTATCCCCTTCCCTTTCATGACCTACCCCGCTAATACATATTTCTTCTTTAAAAACCTTTTAAAGTGTAACCCGCCCGAAAAAATCATCACCCCTCCTCCTCACCCCCTCCTTTTTGAAAAACTACACTCAAATGTTTTTACACGACTGTAACCTTACCCTACCCTACCCAACCATACCCTGCGTTTTACATCCAAATCATAAATTTTACCCCCCCCCCTCAAAATCAAAAATTTTTTTTTTAATTTCAATTTTAAAAACAAAAATCCTGTCGAAATTCAGGAGCGTTAAACATAACTGCATAATATTTGAAATGAAAACAATAAGAAAAGTAATAATAGTAGCGGTTTTGCAGAACTACTTTAGCTTTCGCCGTTGGAGAAAACGGCGAAAGTCATCGAATTAATCACACCAGTTACAACATATTGTTCTTATAGTAAAAGTAAAAATATTGATTTATCTTGGAATATACTCCTATATTAGCCATGATAAATGGTTAGAAGTGTCATATTGTTACCTAAAATTTTTTTTTAGGTAACAATATGACATTTTTAAAAATATTAATTTTTTTTCAAAATTTTTTTTTCGCTCCCTCGCCTTCAAGATATGGTAAAATTAAACTTATTTATATCCTCCCCCCCCTCCTCAATTTCAAACAACTAAACTCCTACTTAAAAAACTTTTTTTTAAAATTTTTATCCGCTTTACCCCTCTAAATATAAATTTTAAACCCACTCCCCACCCAAAACTCAAAAAATCTGCAACCCCCCTCCAAAAATGTGAAAAAATATTCACCCCGGCCTTTACCCCCCCCTCAACCCCTACCCCCACCCCCACCCCCTACCCCACCCCCCGCCCTTACCACCCCACTTACAGTCCCCTTCCTATATCCTCATCATAACAAAGCTAATGTCGTTGATCACCATCGAACAGAGCACATTTACTCGTTCAGCTAATAAAATTAACAGAACGGCATTATGTAATCAAAAATAAGAACCGGTCGAGGGAAACCGTCATGTTGTTGTAGACAGCTAGTTATCGGTAATGGATAAGAAAAGAAAAAAAGCTTACAGTCGGTTCTATCTTACCCTACCCTCTCCTACCCTACCGTACCCTGCCCTACCCTACCCTACCCTACCCTACCCTACCCTACCTTACTTTACCCTACCCTACCCTACCCTACCCTACCCTACCCTACCCTACCCTACCCTACCCTACCCTACTCTACCGTACTTTCTTTTAACCTACTTTCTCTCCCTACCCTACTCTGCCCTATCTCGATTCGCCTCACCCAACCTTACGCTTTAGTTACGCTACTGTAACTATATTTTAGGCTTACTCTACTTTTCCCTACCCTGCCCTATACTACCCTACCTATCAGCCTTACCCTACCCTGTCCTACTCTACAGTGCTTAGTTTAACCTTACTCTGCCCTGCCCAACTCAAAAAGAAGCCTGTTTTAAAATTAACAACAATAAAAAATTAAAAAAACCCATGCCCACCAATAAAATTTTAAAAAAACCCATGCCTACCAGTAAAATTAAAAAAACCCATGCCCACCACTAAAATTCAAAAAATTATTGCCCACACCCTAAAAAATTAGTTTAAAAAAAATAAAAAAACAGTTTCCTCCCTCCGGCATAATTTGTTATAATAAATCCCCATTGGGGTTTTCTTTTCACGCCATTACTTTTTGACGTGCGAAAAGTTGGTTATACAAAAATGGGTTTGCCCTTCACCTTGACGATTACAATACTATTTAGTTTTTACGAAATGTGAGAAGATTTTCGACCGTTTAGTGCGTGAATGAGGTCAGAAACAGTTTATTGAAAGGGGTGGGCTTAAAATGGCTGGAACTTTGGCTAAAATGTTGAAAATGGCAGGAACTTTCTTTACAAATCAAAAAATGGCGACAACTTTTTTTACAAAACGTAATATGGCAAGAACTTTCTTTACAAAGCAAAAAATGGCAAAAACTTTCATTACCGAACAAAAAATGGCAAAAACTTTCTTTACAAAACTTAAAATGGCGAGAACTTTCTTTACAAAACTTAAAATGGCGAGAACTTTCTTTACAAAACAGAAAATGTCAAAAACTTTCTTTACAAAACAAAAAATGGCAAAAACTTTCTTTACAAAACAAGAAATTGCAAGAAATTTCTTTACAGAGCAACAAATGGAAGAAAAGCCAAAAAATTTCTTTACAGAATAAACAATCCATAAAAATGTCCACTCTCTCTTTGCGCAAGCCCCACTCTAGTCCAGACTAACATTACTCATCCTTGTCCAAGGCCTAAATAAGCAAAAATAGTAAGAACCTTCCTAACCTGACCCTGCCATACCGTGGAATAACATATCCCACTTTAACCTACCTTATTTCACTCTACCCTACAATAACACACCCTACTCTACGATAAAGTGCCCTACTCTAGAAAGCTCTAGTGCCCTGCCCTGCCTCAAGAAGTCAAAAACTGACCGCTAAATACCTTACCCAACGTAACAAGCTCTATAACTTACCCTATTTTTCCGACTCTACGATAACATACCCTAACTTACCATAACATACCCTGTCCTATTCACTGCTTCAAGAAAGTTGAAAACCAAACTTTATTTACCTTCTTCAACATAACAAGCTCCAACTTAACCTATTTTACCTACCCCACTATCATATAACATTCCATACCCTAGTGCTTTGCCCTGCTTCAAGAATTCAAAAAACGACCTCTGAATACCTATCTCAACATAACAAGCTATAACCTACCCTACCATAACATACTCTACTCTAGTGCCCTGCCCTGCATCAAGAAGTTTACCAAGCGACCTCTACATACCTATTTCAACATAACAAGCCCTTAATCATTATCAAAAAGCAAATCAAACGAAATTAATCATAAACCATCTTTAACAGTCCATATTAAGCCCAACTAGCCCTAATCTACCCTACCCTCATCCGCAAAAACCCTGCCCTCATCCCCAAAAACCCTGGCCTCATCCCCAAACCCCTACCCTCATGCCCAAACCCCTACCCTCAACCCCAAAAAGCCTTATCAAATATGATAAAGAAGAAAAGAAGATAAGACAAAGCACAAAACGAAAGTCGGATTAATTGGGTCAGTCCATTTCTCTAATCGACCGAAAGAGAAAACGATAAAAACGCTCGGGATTCGAAAAAAAACGGCTAGCCTCTGGGGTCGCGGGTGGATTGACGAGATTAGGTCAACAACTTCGTGGTATCTCACCCCTTAAGGCGATCGTGAGTAAGTTGTGTCGCGCGCCGCCCGTTTTTAACTGACCTGAATGAGTTTAATGGGATAAAACATTACAAAGAAACAATACGCTTAATTAATTGCAGCTTAAGGGAGGAGAGGTAAGGTAAAAGTGGGATGGATTTGAAATTGAAAAATTCAACAAAAAACTAAAAATTTTTTAAAAAATCAACAAAAAATTTCAAATTTAAAAAAGCAATAAAACATAAAAAAAATTATAACTTTTTAGGTAAGATTAATCTACACTAACCCTGCAAACTAGAGTGAACCGCAAAAGAAAAGCAAGGATAGGGAAAAGGTAAGACAAGAGAGGAACATATATAAAAAGTAGGGTAAAGCAAAGTGAAGTAAGGTAAATAAAATATAGATCAATAGTATGAGTAAGGCATACAAAAATAAAGCAAGAATAAGAAAAAAGTAGAGCAAGGTAAAACAAAGCAAAAAAAAGTTAAGCAAGGGTATAACATTTACAAGGAAAGTACCCAATCTGCAACTCCCAGAATTAGCTAAAAATTTTTATACGGATTCTTTGTAGTACCAGTAGCACGTATAAAAAAAATTAGCTTGCGGTTTTAAGTTTTAAAATTAATATATTTAAATTTCCCGCCAATTTGGCAAATTTGGCTTTGAGTTGCAAGCACTTTTTTTGATGTTCCAGATAAGATAGGCATACAAACTTAAAATTGTAGGTTCATTTGAAGCTTTTCTATCATTATATTAAAGAAAAATAGTTAAATGTCAAAAAATGAGGAATTTATAAGCTTGAAACGCTATGCCAATTTGGCGGGAAATTCAAAACGCGATTTTTTGATCTCGATTTTCTCAAGACTGGCCGCAAATCGCAACTTAGAATTTTTCATAAAATATTACATTTACATGATCTTTCAATAAAAAAATTTTGTACGAAATCTGAGCGTTGCAGGTCGGGTACCTTCTTTGTTAGCCAACAAGTTCCTTCTAAATAGACAGATGAAGGTTTCCACATTTACTCTCTTTTCTTGTAGGGTAGGATAGGTTATAGTATATCAGGGTAGGATAAATTTGGCTTTAAAAAAACTCTTTAAATCGAAATTACTATCCTATACAAAACTTTTCACGTGTATTTAACCCAATTATAAAAAAAATGTGCAAGTTTTCAATGTTTTCTTTGTTAAAAATCGCTTATTAGTTACTCCACAACAACATTTTCTTTTTCTTTCTTCACTACCGTACTTTTGATATTTACTTTCTATACCTTTTCCAGCCAATACATAAGTTCATATGTCATAATTCTGCCATTTGAAATTCAAGTAAAAATTAGGCCATTTCAAATATAAATTGATCAAGTTAATCTCTCTTTTGACGTTTCAAACCCTAATTAGAACAAAAAATGATAAGTAATCATAACGAAAGTTTCTTCCGTATTTTTGTCAGCTAATGATGATTTATGAAGTATGATATAAGTATAGTTTAAATGGCATATTATGCTTTCTATTTTAAAGACCTGTTGTACCCTGCCCTGCTTTGTCTTTTCCTGGCCTGCCTATGCCTATGATCTGTCCTACTCTACTCTGCCCTGCCTAAAAATTTCTGGTTTTGAACACCCCTGACCTGCCCATGTCTTTCTCCGACCCTACCCCACCCTGCCGTAAAACTACATTTCCTGCCCGACAATTACTTGCTTTAATCCGCCCTTACCTGCCCATGCCTATGCTCTGCCTTCATGCCCAACCCTACTATACCCTGCCCTGACATGCTCTGCTTTAGACCGGCCTTACCTGTCGATTCCTATACATTTTCCTTACATGCCCTACCCCACAAACAACATTATTCCCACCCAAAAAAACCCTCAAAATCTAACCCGCCCTACAAAAACCATCCTACCTCCAAAAACGCATCCATAAAATATTGTAGTAAAAAATGGCAAAAAACCGACCGGTCATCGATTATTTACCGCGCTGTAATCGCTACCTGACAGCAGATGTTCTTCTTCTTCCGCTTCCTTTAAGAGTCAAGCCAATTGGCAGCCAATTTCCATTTCATTTTGCCGCGACAACACCCGCAACAGATGCCAAATGGGGTCGGATTAAAGTCGGGCTCCAGAAATGTCATCACAGTCATAAATAACAAAGGTGGGATTGTTTGAGGTTTGGCTGAAAAAAATACAATTTTAGGTTTTAGACTAACTTTGCAAAACTTAAAAAATTAATGTTGAAAGCTTAAAAGCTAATATTATAAAATTTGACGAAATGTCACAAAAGTTATCGATTTTTTATAGTTTCGTAGAAATGTATTTTATGAAGATTGTAACATGTATTTTATATAATTTTAGCTAGTTTAAGCCCAAAAAATAGTTTATGCAATATTTTTTAAAATTTCAAAAGTTTAACGAAATGTCACAAAAAGTATCGATTTTTCACAGTTCATCATAAGAAAAGTACTGCCACTTAAATATAGGCACCACAAGTATTAATACTTAAAATAAATTGTCTAGATACTGTCTATCATATCATATTATAGTATCCGTTTCGACTATTTAGACAACAAAGAAAATGGCGTAAAGTAGCCGGTCAGCTAAGCAAACAGTCCACTACATTTCCATATATTGATTTGGTGAATAGCCATTGTCTAATGAAAGATAAACACATTGATTTATATGGTTTGACACTTGGGTTTGAAACCTGTTTAGTCCATATTGTACTGGACATTTACTTTTTCATAGCCATTTTTTGTCCCACTGTAGCTTTTTTTTTATTCTTAAGCCTACTGTAGAATACTGCATTCTCAAGCCTACTGTAACATACTGTACCGTTAAGCCTATTTTAACATACTGTATTCTTCTAGCTTAGAGTAGCATCTATATTTTTACCGCCTATAAGCCTACGGTACCATACAGTACATTTAAGCCTACTGTAATATACTGTAATTTTGAGCTTACTGTACCACTCAAATTTAGAAAACACGTATTTTACCTACAGTACCAAGCCGATATCATCATTATAAATTTAAACCTACAGTACATGACCAACTTCTACAGTACTATGCTAGGTTACAGTAATCAATACTACTTTATATTCCTAATATTACTAATACTAGTATCAGTAGTCTATTGCCAAACTTGTGAAGACAAAACAGGCTCAAATGGAGTGTCAGACTGTGGCAGATTGGCCAATTTGTGTAACAATCAAACATACTACGACTTGATGACACAACAATGTCCTAAAACTTGTAATCGATGTAGTCAAATTAGTAGTGTCAGTAATGTGATCAGTAATACTGGAACTGCTAGTAAGTTCTTTGGAAAGGTAGGGTAGGGTAAAGTTTGGTAAGGCACAATAGATAAGGTAAGACAGGGTCGAGCAGAGTAGGGTAGGGTAAGATTAAATAGAGTGAGATAGAATAGAGGAACGTAAGTTGAGGTATAGTCATGTAAACCAAACTATGACAAGGTAAAAAAAAGGCATGACAAGGACTCAAAAAATTAAAAATCCCCAAAAAATACCTTTGAAGCCTATGTTAATATCATGTTCACCCAATTTTGCCAACTATACAAAAAACTTTCAAAAATCTAAAACATAGGTGTTGTAAAGAATAACAAACTGTATGCAATGCCATAGTTTCATTACAATACCTTGTTTAGCAGCAAAGTTACAACCAGTTGAAAATGAAAAAGTCTAAAATTTTCAAGAAATATTTCGAACTTTTTTTGTTTTTTGCCATTTTTGAACCGTAAAACAAATGTTTAAATTTTACTTTGTAAACAATAAAAATCGTACATATACACAAATTTACGTACATATAGATTATTTATTGGCAGAGTTAAGACCGGTAGAAAACATAAAAGGCTTTAAATTTCCAAGCCGGATTCGAGCTTTTTTGGTTTTTTGCCATTTTCAATCAGATAGAACTTTGTCATAACACAAGATCTAACTATAAAACTCTAACTATAAAACTGCCACAACATATAGATCTTCTTAAAACTAACTTTTTTTTATATTTAAAATACTTTTGAAATCAGTTTTTTATAGCTTCTGGCACCTGTGTAGACAAAACCGACAGCAGTGGCAAATCCGACTGTCCCACAGTAAAACACCTATGTGATGACTCAAAATACCGTGATTTGATGACGCAAGAATGCCCTCAAACTTGTGGTCGGTGCTCTTCTAATACTACTACTCAAAATAGTACTGCTAATGTTGGTACTGGTACTACTGGTTGTGTTGACAAAACAGGTGCAAATGGTCAATCAGAATGTGCACAGAATGCCAATTTATGTACGAACTCAGCTTACAAAGAGTTTATGAAGACTCAATGCCCATTTACTTGTGGGTACTGTAATACTAGTACTACTGTTGTGACTGATGATAATTGTAAGTTATATACGTAGATTAGGGTAGGGTAATTTGGAGCAGCGTAAGGGGAGATAGAATGCAGTAAAGCCTACTATGTCCAATATAAGTACCATTTCCAGTGCCAAACCCAGTGATAACCGGCCCTTGTCGAGATCTGATCACAACCTGCAGTACGTACTCGCAATACTGTAAAAACAAAACCTATCGCATTTTATTGAGTCAACAATGCCCACTAACTTGTAAATTTTGTACACCGTAACCTATTGGGTAATAATTTTAATAAAATTAATAATTTTTTGGTATTTTAAATAATTTATTAATATTTTAAGTTTTCATTCAACTGCCAATTTGAATATTGCCAGGAAACTTAATTATATTGTAGTAGTTACACGTTTTTGTATAATTTTTACGTATAACAACAACAAAACCTCCATTTTTTTTTAAGTTTCATCAACTTTTGACAAAAAAAATTGTTACCTAAAATATGAAAAAAAGCAGAAATTCTATGCCTAAAACAATAAAAAAAGCATCAAAAACCTCGAAAAATGTAATATAAATACAATGCCTTCACTGTCTTTGCCAATCTACAGACCTAAAAATCCAACAAAAAAATTAAAATCTTACCCATCAATACCATATTATCCTTATTCTCCTTTATTCAGTAAGAAAACCCAAAAGAAAAGCTGAAATACTGATTGAATTTTGCCAAAATTTCATCGTAATCTTGTTCATTATTAGTAAGAACATCTTTGAATGTATTGCGAGCTCCACGAGCGTTTTCGGCTTGTAATAACGAATCTAAAACAATATAAACCAAAAGAAAACTTAAAACAATTATAAAATTTGCTCTTTAACGAGAAAAACGTTGAAAAGCCAAGATATTAGTGAAATATTATACTTCTTACGTTTTCTATTTCTAAATAGCTGATAAACCTAATTTTTATAAGGTTAAAAAATATAAAACAAGTCGAAAATCTTTGAAATGACACCTTTTCTGGACGAAAATTACTTGTTTTTCAGAAGATGTGACTGATTTTGTAGATGAATTGAGCTAGAAAGATATTTATAATAACTTTATGTAGTGTTCTTCTTGTTATTGATGTTTATTTCGTGTTCTTCAGCTATTTTTTATAATAACATTCTTCTTTTCTTATAGATATTAGTTATTTGTAATATTTTGGTTCATTTTAGGCTTTAACTTCAATTCTACTGGAAGTACAAGGTCTTCAGGGTCAGTAGGATAAATTCCATCGGTTTTAATTGCTCAGAAGCGTTTGGAAGATCAGTCGGATTGCTATGTTACATGAACTTGGACAAGGTCTGTTTTTGCTTTGTTTTTTCATCGGATTTTAGGTAATATCGTGGAAATGGACTATTTTAAAGGATTTGATACCTAAAAACTTTAGTACGTCTGATTTCTAAAGGTTTTTTCATTATTTTATACCTAAAATCTTCAAATATGTAATATCTAGGTTTTCTCTTTATTCGTTACCTAAAACATGAAGTTTTGCGATCAAAACTTTAAATTTAGGTATAAAGATGTTGTTTTTTTCCAAAACAGGTGCTTTTTAAGAAAATATGTACTTTATTGATATTGTAGGTAGCAATTTTAAGTGTTACACGTTATGTGACTAATAATGAGCACATAATGTTATCACAGACTTCATAGTGTGTCTGGCTGTAATACTTAGTTAGCCACAGCAATTAAAATGCAAAGTAACGGCAAATAATAGTATTATATAGGGTATAAACAGTTTTGCAGAATTACTCAAATACCTGGAGACTCTATTATCTTGTTAAGCAGTAAAACGTTTGGGTTTGCGTATGAGTGACACCACTAGACAAAGCAGATTAAAGTTAACATTTAATTGTGCTACAGTGGGGAATAATATGCTGATACTACATTGTACAAACTACTTCTTGATTAGGTTTTGCAAAAAGTACTGTAGAATGGGTATGATAGGTTGGAGTACGGTAGGGTAGGGTATAATAGAGTAGCGTATGGTAAGGTACGACGTTTAGGGTACAATATGGTACGGCAGGATGAGGTAGAATTGTCTGCGGTAGGATAAGATAAGGTTGAGTAAGGTAGAGTATATGCATTATACCATACATCAATAAGATTATGTTATTATTGTCTATAGATTAGTGCTATTATATTTATATTTTGTGTCCAATTAGAAACGGAAATTGTCATCACTCATGTATGAACGGATTACCCGGTAATTTAAAATTTACTGAGAATTAAAGAGTTATTGTTACACCTACATATTAATTGAACTTTTTATATTCTAAGCCCTAGACCTACCTTAGCCCTGCTTTAGCCTTGCCCTGCCCTAGCCCTGTCTTATCTCTGCTCTATCCTTGCCCTAGCCCTGCCCTAGTCCTGCCTAGCTTTGCCCTAGCCCTGCCCTAGCCCCGCCCTAGTTTTTTTCTAGCTTTGTCCTAGCCCTGCTCTTGCTCTGTCCTAGCCATAACTTAGCCTTCTCCTTCACCCTGCTCTACCCTAGCCGTAGCCTTTTTCTAGCTCATGTCTACCGTTGTCCTATCCCTGCCCTAGTCTTTCCTTAGTCCTAGACCTAGTATTACCTTGTCTTACTCGAAACCAGTTTTTGCGGGGTTACCTAATATTGATGCTATAGCCATATAGCCTTAAGTAAATTGCAAGAAACTGTATTACGCAACTTTTTATTGTGTAATTTTATGGCTTTGTTTAATATGTGCCTCGATGTAAAACGGCCCAACAAATTACTGCGGGTATGACAATGTAAATATGTACGCATATTCTTGCCGCTCCCTTATTTTCCCCCTCTAGTTACGTTTTACAGTACCCTTCCCCCATCCTTGTCTTACCCTTGCCCTACTTATGCACTATTTTGAACCCATACTTTTACCTCTACTCGTATTACTAGCCTTACACTACCCTTACTTAATTCTATCCTTAGTTTTACTTCTATTATTTCACTATTCTTACCGTATCCTTATCCATACTCCTACTATTATCCATAGTCCTACTCTGCTATACCATATCCTATCATAGTCTTTCTTGTTTTGCTTCTTCCTAACTTGCTTATGCTTATGTCTTGCCGTTTCATGCTCTATCCTACTCTACCCTGTCTTAACATGCGTTGCTTTGAAATTGGTCTACCCTTGAAAACCTACTTCAACATAACTAAATTTTTTGTTTTTTTTAATTCAATATCAAAAAGATAACGAAATATTACACCAATATGCCTTTTTTCAAATTGAATTCTTTCGAATTCCTGAAACGTTTACAGATAAAATTAACTTTGGCGTTCGAACGCTGGAAGCATAACAACTCCAAAGTATAATAGGATTGTGGTCTAGTTTAAGACTGGCTTTGTTACATTCCATAAGAAATGGATTTGAAATGGATGCCTTCGGTCGAATTGTAAAAGAGTTTGCTATAGTTTATTGTCAGTGGAGGCGGGTGGGTAGGATAGAGTAGATTAAGGTATGTTGAGTAGGGTAGGGTAGGGTAGGGTAGGGTAGGGTAGGGTAGGGTAGGGTAGGGTATGGTAGGGTAGGGTAGTGTAGTGTAGAGAAGGCTGTGATATTGTAGGGTAGGGTATTATAAGGTCTTTTTTGACCTGCTCTTCAATTATCATACTGGTTTTGAGCATTTCATGTGCTATACAGTACGAAAAAATTCAAAAAGTATTTCAATTTTACAGTATTTAACGGTACTAATTAGTACAAGTACATTAGAGTATGGAAGGGAATAGTCGGGCATAGTAGAGTAAGGTAAGGTAAAGTAGGGTAGGGTAGGGTAGGCTATTTTTTGCTATTTGACAGACAAAAAGAATGTGTATGATATTTGTTATTTGACAGATTAGTTATGTAACAACTCATACAAATGACATGTTTCTCAGAATTGCTTAGTTTTATTCGATAAATATGGTTTTATGAACCCAATTATTTGTTGTTCTTTGTTATAACTATAGACTTTTGGTTTAAAATTCGTTTTTTATTTAAAAAATTTAAAAAATTTTTTAAAAAAATAATGATAGGGTAGGGTTGAATACGGTAGGGTAGGTTTTGGGGTGGGTAGGGTTGGGTAAGGTAGAGTACGGAACCGTATGGTAGAGCATGGTAAGGTAATACGAAGGCAAGGCTACAGTATACCTGCTTCTCAACCAAAAAATTTTTTTTTGTAAATTGTTGTTTATCATGCTTTATGTTATTGTAGTTGTAAATAAGCGCAGTTTTTGCAATGTTTTTCAAAAGAAAATTCTAGTATCATTGAGCCCAAAGCACAGTATAAATAGGGGAATGTACGTGACAATCGCTTTGGACTTTGAAAATTTAACAAACGGCTATAAATATTTGAACGTACAAGTTGTTTCATTAATTATGACATGTTGTCTTGCGCAAAAAACGTGTTTTGATTCTTTAAAAATTTGATAAATATTTCTTTCTGTTCTTCTCTCTTTTACTCTGTATTGTCGTGTTCTACCTCTAGCTCTACTGCTAGCCCTAACAGTAATGTTAGGTCTGTCTTAGCTCTTTGCTCAGTCTTGCCTTAGCCTTGCCTTAGTTTGCCGTCGCCTTGGGTAACCTTTCTTTAGCGGTGCCCTTGCCCTGCCTTGCCTTGCCTTAGCCTTGCCTTAGCCTTGCCTTAGCCTTGCCTTAGCCTTGCCTTAGCCTTGCCTTAGCCTTGCCTTAGCCTTGCCTTGCCTTGCCTTGCCTTGCCTTGCCTTGCCTTGCCTTGCCTTAGCCTTGCCTTAGCCTTGCTTTGCCAAGCATATTCTACTGTAGCAGCACGAGAATTTTTATATAATACTTATGTCTTATAACCCTGTCTCACTGTAGGCATGTCTTATGAACTTTTATTATAAATTTTTTATTTCAGTTACAGTAACTTATATTAACAATTACAAGCATATTTTATAATAATGTTATCTGTAATACCAGTATTACTTTTTATTTTCTAGTATATTTACTTCAGTTTTTCTACAAATATACTACTAATTACACCAGCTAATCTTTCATTGTTCAATTCCTAATGACTATTGTTTTGTTACTCGAGTTAAAGCTGATTGACATACTGTTGTCACTGCATTTATAAACGTACATTGTCTTCAAATCCTATACAAACTAGCTCTCAAACTTTAAATAGCGCTACCAAATCCGATATAAGTTCGGATTTGATGTCTTTTTGAGTTGCTTACATTACCTAAAACTATTGTTACACTAATATGTCACAGTCGGTCAGGAAAAGGTTACTAACAATGAGTATTGAGAATGAAACTAATCGTTACGGTGGCTATTGTTAGTCATATGTTTACGTATATATCTGGATGTATGATTTAAAAATTTTTTTATTGTGGTAAGTATGGTACTAATTAGGATGTCTTTCTTGTTTCTAGGGTAGGGTAAGGAACGGCTGGGTATGATAGGGCAGGTTACGGTAGGGTAGGGAAAGGTAGGTTAGAGTAGGGTAGAGTGCGACAGGTTGGGGTAAGATAGGGTAGGGTGGGCAAGGGTAGTTTCTTTTTTTTAGGGTAAGGTCTTTTTTAACCTGTCCTTCAATTATCATTCTGTTATTTATTAGCATTTGAGCATCGCGTGCTTTACAGTACGAAACAAATTAAAAATTAGAATAAAATTTTACAGTATTAAAGGTGCTAATCAGTACTATTAAAGTGTTTTTAAAAATTTTTTAGTGTTATAGGTAGTACTGCTTGTACCCTAAAAGAAAAACTTGTTTTCTTTGTTTTTTTATTATAGGGCAAAAAAATCCCCATTCCACCCATCAAAAGCAGTAATTTATTTTATTTGTTTCTTAATGTATCACTCTGTAGCCTGGCTTAATTTTTTTTTGTTTAAAAATATTTTACCCTTGCTTTGTCCAAGCTTCATTTGAGCCTTTGCTCTATCTTAATTTGCCCTACCCTACAATACCTTGCCCTAACTCTACCCTACCATACCATATTCTATCCTATCATTTCCTACCTTACTTTACCCTACCATACCTTACCCTGCGCTACCCTGCCCTACCCTACTGTGCCCTACCCTACGCTACCCTATCCTA